TTTAAGGTATTAAGGGGGTAGTCACATCATAAATTTAACATGAAAACCCTTCTTGGTCAAAACAATTGCCCATCCTTTTCTAGATTGTTTGAGAAAAAAATTTTTTTCTCTCTCTCCATATCACAACAAGAGTTTCCAAACGAATAATATAGTTTAACAAATTGAATGCTTAGATGCTTATCTAATTGAAAGTACTCAAAGAGTCATAACGTGCTGGCGTTCTCAGAAATAAATTAACTGTGCATGAGTGCCTTTTGAAGTTCCTCCAAAAAAAGGACAAATATAATATATCTACTTTATCATATTTCTTCAAGAATGGAGAGATATGAACATTGTAAAAAGGAAATGAGGGACACGATAAAGCAGAGATGAAGAGTGAAACACTCTTTACGTTAAAGAGATTGAGAGAACGCAAAGTGGTTTGCGGATAAGGAGTCGAGATTGAGAATGTATACATCCTTGCGTCCATCTCTTTCCGCTCTTTTCCTAATAAATGCCTATTCAATGATACCCGAATTCCCTTGGGTTAACTGAACCTCCTTAATCTAGAAATAGTATTAGCGGTTGTGAGACATCACAGACAATGCCATCTGATGAATAGATCATCAATGAAGAAGATGATTATATTTGAAATGACACCAAGCAGATAGAACAGGAAAGAGCACAGATTCAAGAAACAAACAGTCATTCTTCCAGAAACAAATAATGATTTTCTTAGAGTCCATATGTACCCTTGAGACTTAATATGATATAAAACAAGGGAAAAATAAATAAATTCTGAATCAGAAGGTAAAAATGTTTCAAAATATAACACCTACGCTACTGTAAAATCTAAAAATGGCAAGAAAAAACACTTCTCAGAGTGAAAAGGGTAAAGTAATTATTTATGGAACAGAAGAGAGATTCATATTCTCAACTACTCATAACGAAGCTAATGAATATGTCTCGTATCCATAATTGCTGTTCAACTGAAGCTGATTTACGAAGAACAATATTCATAAAACAAATTTCGTGAGTATTGAAAAAACATAAGAAAGAATGATTTTCAGGTAATTTTCCATGAAATTCAAAATGCACGACATGGCTTCAGTTTAACTATACAGGTTTCAACTCGTTAGAGTTTCCGTTACAGCATCTACAACATGCTTAAAAAGATGAGGAACTAAATCATATTATACTCAGTAATTGTTTGACTCAAGAAGGACATATCCAAACGAAACTTGGGCTTTGACACTATGTGCTTGAGATTCGGGTTCTTCTCACTTTTATAGTGCAAAAGCAGTTTTCCGAAACATAGCGAACACACACTCATGACAACCAAAGCTGTCCATATATAAATTGTTGCAGTAGCAGAAGATTGTATCTTATCACTTCCTTTTTTTCGGACACCATCAAAAACCATCAAAAATTGGCACAAAATTAAGCAATTGCTTAATAGCAGACGGACATTCGCTATCTGATGCATTGCTTAAGATACACAATTACAGACTGGATAAAGCAAACTAAAGACCAAAATAAATCTTCCTTATAGGGGTAAAAATAGCAGTTATTGCATACAAAAAATAATTAGGTTCAAGTTAATCTCGTTAAATTCAAAAGACACAAGCTAGAGGATTGCTTGAGGTGGTATCCATGAAGCCTGAGAAAGTATAGAGTCAACTGAATTATTGAGAAGTCATAGAACAAGCGAAACTCGAAAAGCACAAAACTGAACAGACGTATAGGGTTGGTCTTAAATGCCTAAATTGAATGAGTATACAAAGAGAAGTTTTAAGGAATTTTGTTGAATTCTTGAAAGTTTTCTCTCTCTGTTCTCTTTCTCAGTTTTGAAAACTTCCATTTTTACTCTGAAGAAACTCAGCATTATATAGAGGAATGAATTGCACGAAGAAAAAAAAATGATTTTCTGTTCAAAACAAATGATTTCATTATATAATCCAGCTGAATAAGTAATTTCTCATCCGAATACTACTATTTACTTGCAGTTCAACTAAAATTTGATAATATAGTTCGGTTGAAATACAAAATTATTGGAATGAAACAGAAATTCCAGAAACGATGGCGACATATACGCATCATTTCCACTTACAGCTTCTATTGAGGAAATTCAGTTGTCAAGAAAGGGTGAAACAACGAATATCTAGAGAAGTCAAGAAAATGTGAGACTCGAAAGATGTGACTTCATTTTAGTCTATCATATTTAACGGCTAATGGGAACAAACTTGGCTAGTTTAACTTTCTCATTCAAACATATTATATTTGGACATTCAAGATTTTCTTTAATGTAGAGAACAATCCATGAATATTATGGATAGCTTATTATAGAAAGTTATGACGCTCGCAAAGATAAATATTATATTATATTTTTAAATATTCAAAAAATATTATGCTTGCATATGACACATACTCAACGAGTCTCTTCCGACTCATCTCTTGACCCTATACCATGACCTTACTGTAAGCACATTTTTTAAGGAAATCAAAAAGCAACTCGCTCGAAAGGATTTTTGACATTTTCGGATCAGCTGCCTATAAGTTGGACGCTATGCCGATGACTCGCCTTGGAATCCCCCTAAGGAAGTGGCCGTCGGCGACACGAGACGAAGCACGATGTTCAATGAAGAGGCGGAAAGTCAAGTAGAGAAAGGATAGTCAGTTCAAAAGAGAGAGAAAGATAAAAAAGAATTTTCGCTTACAAGAGGAAAACGGATAAAGAGAAGAGGAAGAAGAATAAGTGAAAGAATCATGCTTCGTGGAGGGCACAGGAGACTAGATGAAAGAGCAACAAGCGAGCTGGGACTTGATCCCACGGGAGCTGTAAAGACATAAGATACGAGTGTGTGAGACCGATTTCAAATAGTTTTAATATACTGGGCTTTTCGTGTTCCTGAACGACAAACAGGAGTTAATAATTTGAAATTTTAAAATTATTCAGGTTATATATACTAAGTAATTGGCGGACTATCTGAGTGAAGTGAATGGTTAACAGACAAAACAATCTAGAATAATTCAGGTGCTAAATTATACACTATAAATAGTCCTACGGAGCAATTCTAAAAAATCAGTTGCAAATGAACACGTCAAAACGACATCGATACAAGATGCATTAGACAACTGAAATACAAACAAAGCTAAGCATGTATCGGATGAATGTCCAAATGAAGATCGGATGTCCGGCATACAAATTGTAAATATTCATCCTCTGGCTAGGATGACTCAAATTGTTTTTGATTAAAAAGGTGACATAAAGAGAGCGATAGAGGGAATATTTCTATTACGAAACTCCCAGCGAGTGCTTCCGGGTGAGAATAGCACTACAAACTAAACATTATTCGCCTAGGTGGCCTACAGTCCCTAAGGGCAAACTGAGTTTCCGCAAAATATTCAACTCGGTTTCAATTCGAATCTGTCACGATGAGACAGCGAACACATATTCGAATTATTCCCAATGGATGAGGTCAAACAGATGTGTTTCACCAGAAAAAAAGACGACAATTGCAAATTGATAAAGCTGATTGCAAGATATATGCAAAACAAACTAAGCTGAAAGCTCGAAGCATTAGTCAAACTTTTGCAATGTTCTAGAAGTGATGAACGAAGATTTCCAAATATTGGATGAATAATGAAACTCACTCATTATGAGCATTTGTAAGAGAATCAGCCTCGTTTGTTATTCAAAACAAAAATTATAAATCAGCATAAATCAGAAGCTCTCATCATAACCTCATGCAAATGGCTTATTAAACTCATAAGGTCAGATGATTGTTACTGGCATTGACAGTTCATCAACATTTTGAACGGGTCAAGCCTCCTGTTATGTAGGAATTTGAATTAAATTTCTAATAGCCTCTGTTAAAATTGAAGCAAATGTCGAGTATTTCACTAATGATCTCATAATGTGAGTTGCTCAAGTAAAAAGAAAACGTGAAGAACTGAATTGAAAGATAGCTTTTAGACGAAAAAAGAAACAAGAACAGAGCATGTTCTCAGCTAATAAATCTTTCGCGACTATTTTACATTAACTAAATTGCAGAATCAAATAACTAAAAAAATAATAAATACTTCCTTAGCTCTCTAAAATTGAGGGAAGTGTTGAAAGTCACGAAAGGTCGAAAAACTAAATAGGGCAATAGAAATAAAACCCTCGGGATTGCTTTTGACGAACGGAAACACTAGTATTCACTAGCGCAGTCAAGGAAAAAAACGTAAAAGATAAATTTGAAAAGAGTTAGTTGCATTAAGAAGCGCATGCATATCAAGTTAAGTCTAGCAAGATCTTCAAATTCAATATATGAACATTTGTACAAAAAATAGTGTGCCAAAGTTCATTGATTAAATTGAAACCCTCAGAGACGAGCAAGCAAGTGAAAAAATTAAAATGTTACAGCAGTTTATCCAATCAAATACTGGAATAAAAACCTTCAAAGCAGAACATTGAAAGAGAGCTGTCAGATAGAATTGTATATCAGATAGTCCAGCAATAAAAAAGGAGTCCGGAGTAAAAAAAGGAACTAACCTCCTTTGCATTGAAGTCATTCTTGTTTGAAGTTAAAGCAACCGGCTTGTAATGCTCGAAATGTAAAAAATGAAACTGAGTTCTTCCACGCGTGTACACCACGTCGTACACGTAAACAACTTGATGCAATTAGCATATTGATTAATGAACATAATCAATCAATGAATTGTTCTTCATGCTGAAGTGAAAAGAATTCGCTTAAGTCTTACATTTAATGTGATTCAGCATTATTAGTTATTGAAAGTAGATGGATCTAGTACCTAAACGCGTGTTAAGGATCAATACATATCAATGAAAACATTTAATGCTATTCACAAAAACAAAAACAAAACAACAATTTTTCAAAAAACAAACAAACTAAGAGGTTGAAAACTTCTAAATTTCATATGTTATATTACATGGATTGTATTTCAAAAGTATGATGAGTGTCAATGAGTTTAGAAAAACTATGATAAAACTTTGAACTTATTACAAGCTAATAAAATTACAGGAGCACATCCGACAATCTTTGGAAGTCTGTCAACAATGATGGCTGGAGTTCTCTGACTTCTATTACTGGTGTACGATACCTCTGAAAAATACATACTATACACAAGTAAGAGCTAACTTCCAAACCTCTCCCAAATAATTTCCGATCAAAGTTTGATCACGTCTACAATCTTGTATTACAGTTTTAAAATCTTTAGTATCTTTGTGTTCAACTTTTGGAACAGTTTCGTCGCTCGAACTTCTTGGTTCGTTATCATAGTCGCCGAAGTACTTTTTCTAAATTTTAAGCTTTTAAAAATTACTAAGCTGCTAGTGAACCTTTTTATGCGGACGACTCGATCTTCTTGTTAGCGTCGGCTACAACAGATATGTACAACTTGATAGGGTAGGGTGAAACTTACAGAGGAATCGGATGACATAGGATAAGACAGCTTATAGGTAGCCTTACTCCTTTTGCCATTAGCTTCAGAGTTTTTCAGAGTAATTTTGTTCGTGATTTCAGAGGGGACAGATAAGCAGAATTGGTTTCTTTCATCTCTAAATTTTACATTCCTTCTTCCACTTTGTTGCGAACTACTGTTCCTCGGTCGCCTTCCATCATCATTCAGCTGTATTACCAGGTTTATACAATTTGTAGGATTTTTACGTCCTCTTCTAGAGTATTCAATGTTATCCTCATAAGCCGAGCTAGTCGATTCAAGTGTAAGCATATTATTTTCAGAAGACGAATCTCCCTAAATTTAGGCTTATATTTAAGAATATAATATCTTACTCACATCCCGGAAACGAGAATCAGTATTCTCAGAATCTGTTGTAGTTAAATGTAAACGTGAATCAAGATTTACGGTGATACTATCATCTCTACTAGATGCGATTGATTTGTTACGGATTGTTTTGAAAAGCTGAAAAAAATCAGGATAAAACCAGTTTTGAAATATGTGATGAACCTCATCCCAAGGTTCAAATTGAGGAATATTTTGACTTGGAGTATTGAAACTATCTAACACTTTCATATAATTGTAACTCTGAAAAGAAAGAATATTTCAAGACAGTTTGATTTGACACATCTCACTTGAGATAGAACCTGAGAGCGAACTGAGTTCGCAGTAGTTGGTACTTCTGCTTTGGATTCGTTCAAAGCCTGTAACGAATCAGTTGTAAAATCTTTCTGCAATCATTTCACCAACAAATGTGCTCGGTTTAGAAATTTTTGCTTCATAATGACAGTTATCTACATGTCGAGGCTGCTCGTGAGACTCTCGGATGACTTTGCGCAGTTTTTCCAACTGTACAAATGATTATTAGGTGTCTGTTTGGGGGAAAAACCTTAAGAATGTTCGAAGGGTTAGTTGGTTCTAGTGACTTTAATTTTTCGAGAATGCTATATTTCTTCCGGAAAAAATCCTGAGAAAAAGGGTAAATAGCTAAATAGATGAATATACGAACTGTGTCTGAGATATTTTCGTCGATCGGTTCATCCAGTGATTCAGATGAAGATATTGTGGGAGACTAAACTCATCATATTAGGTTATTTACTTTCTTTAAGTCAGCAAACCTTTATTGGAACTGCTGGTTCTGATGGATTTGAAGATTGTATGTATATTGAACTAAAAGGTATATTTATTTCCTGATCTTCAGATACAAACCTCGAGTCGGTTATTACTGATGAGCAAATGCTTTTAGCATTGTCGAGCGTCACCTAAAAAATAAATTTTTTTTAGAAAATTCGATCTACTTACTACATCTTTAGGTATATCAGCTGGTGATTTATCACTGGATAGATCGAATAACTGATCTTCTTGACTACATATAACAATATCTTCAATATTATCAATTTGTTTGGATACCTACAAAGTACTCTGGTTAGACCAAAGAGCTATGATACCTTTTCAACTAGATTGTTCAAAATGCCTGAGAACGTTTTAGTGTCGTTATCCGACCATTTAAGGAACGATAAGTAATCGATTTTTTTAGAACGTTCACAACTTTCTTTTTCATTCATTCCTAAAAATTGTTAGAAATGTAAGTTCATAAGTCTCAAATATACAAATTGTTCATAGAACGTAAGTTCAATATCTAAGAAAGAAAAGAAGATTTACAAGAAAACAATATAAGAACGATAAAACAATATAAACAAAACAATTGTGAGCATGCGGCACTTCAAGAGCTTCTATAATACTTATGGAATAATAAATTACATGTAATATAAAAACCTGGACAACTAATCACCAACATTCACAGAGTTGAACAACATACAATGTATACAAAATGAATTTTGCAAATTTATAATAAATCTCTAAAACAAATGGAATAAAATCTCGAATGCCCGCACAACTTCAGTTCTCTTCAGCATTTAGATACTTTGGGAGGTGAAAGACGCAGAGCTGATCCTCGAAGACGCAAGACAATTCCGCATTTATCTCCAGCCGACAGAATGGGCTCAGCCGACGAAGTTTCTCTGCTGTATGCGTATCATCATAATTGAGGATTGCATGTTCATACCGATGTTTTCTGGATGCACGTTTACTACTATAACTACTGCACTTCAAACTTTTTAAATACGACCCTGAAAAGAAGGGAGTGCATTCAAATTGTAGAATATGAGCAACTTTTTTGTGATGACAAAAAACGGAGTAATAAAACTTTCTTCCAATGTACAGAGTCATATCCATGTTCCATTGTTCTCTGCAACTACATTGAGACGAGGGATCAACAGTTTCAAGAATAACTAGCGAAAATCGCTATGACTTCTTATCAAGAAAACGAAAATGTGTTAATGTTTATTACAGTAGGGCGTTGAAGAAACGAATACTTTAACTATAACCGCATGAAACAGAAGTTCTGCGCCCGTACTTTGTGACGTAGGCCTTTTTTTGAGTCTTCTGAAGAATCATATTGAGGCCAACAATACTTATGAAACTTTACCGCAGGCTTTCGCAAAGCGTCTGAAATAATATATGTATCCTCTTTTTTAATTCCTGTACCATGGTGCATATCTATAAGAATATCTTGAAGGGAAGACACAATTCTGTCTGGGAGTTTCGTCTGAAAAATTGATTCTTAATTGTCCAGTATTAGATTTCGCACCAGTTTTTCATCTAAACATTTGAACAACTCCAGTTGGATGGTCCAACACCTATTCAATTCATCGCCGATTTTCAGAAGAAGTTGCCTAACGGTCCCATCATGCTCTTCCTCAACATCTTCTTCCATTTTGATGACGCATTGGTTAGTGTCGCCATTATATGTCTACATTCTTTTAAATAAATAAACAAAATGTTGAAACTTACCGAATACATGTTAAATCCAAATTTCAGAAATTTAAACTAGAATAATTTCGTTTACATTTTGAAGTAGATGAAAACTGTCAATGGAGCGAGCTTATTACCAGTTAGTGATTATGAAATTTCTTTGAAAATTCATTGTGTAACTTGAGTGGACGCATCTTGAACTTTCGAAAAATAGAAAAATTGATAAGTTGTTAGTATAATCTAACGAATGGAACGTTATTGAACACCACACACCAGTAGTGTTCTTGTTCAGGGAACGGATCATAATGAGAACATAACTTTCAGTCCAGCTGGTACCACCAAAAACAATTGGCTTGTATCTTTCATTTCCCGATGTCAATGTTATGAAATTGTCAACCGCTCCGAACGTTCCGATAAGAAGAAATGAAATGCTACGCTCTCGCTCACGTTCTTCACGTCTAGTGGACAAGTCAGATTTGTTCCACAATGACACATAATTGCAAGTTTTATGACCAAACTCCAACATTCTCTTTTACCAAACATATGAAGCTTATCCTCTCTTCACTTTCCTTCAACAGATTTGAACTAAGGATTGTTCTTTTATATGTTAGTGGGAATTTGTGCACGTGAATGGATAAATTGTTCCCAATCCAGCCGGATACCAGATCCTCGGATGCGTGACGAATAGATGGGCGGAGCAAAAAACGGGGAAGAAACCATTGGTTCTGCTACTATTTTCTGGAGAAATGAATATTTTGCCGCTCCTTTTCATTATCAGCCATGTAGCTTCGCAGGTAACCTATAAGTAAAAGCATTTACAAACTTTATATAAAAATGTACAAAGCCAGATGACATTTGTTCGTCGAAATTATAAAAAACGTGTATTCAGAAGTGTGATGTTGATTTTGATATGATAAAATATTATTAAATCTTAAAATAAAAATGAAATCGAGAAACTTCGTAAATCTTGCTGACCTCTTTCTATAGAGAAAGTGAAAGACATAACGTCCGGGATTTGCATTAATACTAGATAAATTAAATAGTACTTTCACCTTCAAACAGGATATGTTTAGAATATGAATCTATCGCCTCTGATGAATCTTCTAACTCCAGAAAGTATGGGCCGTTTTGCAGAGATTGCTCAAGAGTTGTCCAGTATGGCAGCCAATAACCTGGCACAGAACGAAAAAGATACGCTGTGAGTTGATTTAACTGATCGAAAAAGATGCCTATTACTTTCTAAAACGACTTTTTTCTTGAATATTCTCACTTATCACCAAGCAAGAATTTTCTTTTGTTCTCTGTAGAGACTGTCTGATGTTGAATGACGGATATTAAGAAGTTGCTTCGTACGAGCGTGTTTCATTTTTATTCAAGTTCATTTGCTGCTTAGCCATTGATTCCCATTTTACATTATTCTTTTTTATTTCAAAAGTTGTTCAGTTGAAATTTGAAATATTCAAATTGAAATGGTCATTCAAACATGCCAATGGATCACAAAAATGTTCGATTGTGATGTATATGAAACCGGATTTTCGGACTGGATAATGCTGCTAATGTATTTCTTGAAATGGCTAACTTTGCAATTATCTCTTTCATCTCTCTTTCATACCACATGAATCACTGTACACAGCTGATAGTTTCTATCAATAAGGGACTAATTGAAGCTTCAATGAACAACTTTCACTTTTTGATTTTTAAGTATTAGGGTTCTCTGAAAAAAACGTTAATTACAGCAAAAACTCGGAAGCGCCCAAGCCGGTCGATCCTCAGAATGCTAGACCATCAGAAGTGTTAGGACAAGGTGAGATATACTAAGAGGCACATCACAGAAAACTTAAGCAATGTCGAGCTTGACTAGCCAATCTCGGAATGCTTTCATTGATGCTTTGAATCCAGTTTTACAGAAAACAACAGAGAGCACTGTGAAGGAAACAACCGCGACAAGTAAGCAAGAATAATCCTATCAAGAGTTTCAAAACCAATTGATTAAGCGTCTATACCAGAAGTCTCAACAACAAAAAAGCAGAAAATTCCACCACGCCCAGAAGGCAAACGTAATAGGAAAAATGCTGGAAAGGGTGCTAATGCACAGGGAAAACCTGACAGTTGTTTAACTTCCTGAACTTTCTTACTTACACCCTTTATGATTCAGCTCAAGCAAAGAAAGAGGAAATCCGTCATGCACCAGTTTCTCCTGTTAAAGTAGCCGATTCATCTGACATAATCGCTGCTGCGTCAAAGACTGATGAGGTAGTCTCGTAATAATATGGTTTCAAAAACCGTATTTTCATAACAGATTGTTTCCTCCAGCACAAATATGAACAGTGGAGGTGCAGCCGAAAACCCGCTGTTAAAGCTCGCTAGTCAATTTTTGCGAGGTTTGTTACATATTTTATAACATATGTGTAACTTACTTAACTTTTTCAGCAGGCTCTGGTGCTAATGGACAGAAAGGCGGTTCGTACTAATAATTTTTCAAATTTACTTGTGCTTACCGCAATTCGATTATTCAGAGCTTCCACAGATAGGTCTCAAAGACTTTCTGCCCGGAGTCAAAGATAACTTCGGTATCCCTCGGGGACAAGGTAAACCTTTAGCTTTGTCCTTCTATATAGAATTATTCGATTAGGCTGCTTTCCCTTCTTATCAGAATTCATGCAAGCAGCATATGGAAACTGTCAACAGGTTAGTTCTTTACCGTTGAAAGACTGTGTTAATTGGGTTACAGGTTGCCGACGAGGGAGCGTGGGACGCATGGGGAAATGAACTGAAAAATGCTATTTTAACTGGAGAAATAGATTTTATGAGAGCTAGGTATAAGATTACTCAAAGAAACACTCAATTATCCTAATGTTTTTAGCCAAGAAACATGTCGAAGAGGAGCAGAACGTCAGCAATGTGGTTCTCTTCGACAGGCTATCTCCAACTGTCACATCATCGAATCAATGCAGATAGCAGCTCAGCTACAGCGTTCCATGAAGAGATGTGAAGATGTTTCTGGACTCATTGATCAGGTATGTCAACAGAATAGAAAATTGAACATAAATCCTCTTTAAGAACCCAATGGTTATCTTAGGCCAAATGAATAGTTTGATAGGTGGAGAATTTGCTCAAGGTTTCTTCAATAAGTTCTTAGGCGGTGGATCTCAAACAAATGGTTAATTGCCATTGTTTATCACTATTAACTTATTATCTCCAATTAATATTTGTACTTTGATTCTCGAAATAAAATGTCACTTTTGAAAGTTGAACAAACTATACAGATAGATCAAATGACATTTGAATTATCAACCCCGCGGGGAGGGAAGTGATGAGAAGAGCCCATGCCATCCTCTCAAATCATTCACTTCTCATTGCATATCATACCACTATTACTCATATAATTTAGAACTCTTTTACCAATATTAACCATGAAGTTGTTGTTCTTGTTTGGCTTCGTTGCCTTCGCGTGCGCATCAGCTATCCCCAAGGAGGCTAAGGATACTAAGGATGATATTGAAAAAAAAATTAACGAGATTGACAACATGATCAGGTATTTCTCTTTCCAACAGAAAATTCGAATAATTCTTAAGAAGCCACCCACGCTACCGCAACACTCCTGATGGACCAGTACCTCATTCTAAACCAGTGATTCAAACAACTTCTGCCCCTAAAACTCATGATAATCACACTATCATTCACTCATCTTCTAACTCCCAAGAGAATAGCACTACTGCTCAAGAACACAACACTCTTAAGGTGAGTTTCTTACCACGTCATAAGCGTCAGTTTGAATTTACAGGATGAGATCGTTTATTTGAAAGAGCAATACACTAAAGTGCGAGGAGAGATTGATCACTGGATGGTTAGAACAGGGAAATAATGTTTTTTACTGATTGTTTTAGGACTCACCCTATCACAGAACCGTTATTCTTCCTGCCCTTATTGGAGTTAGTTTTGGATTCCTTACCATTCTTCTTCACTTCCTTCTCAAAAAATGCTGCAGAATGTGCAACAAGTAAGTTGACTGATTTTTTTCATGGAAATTTGTGGTTCTTATAGGAGATGCAGCCGTACTTACATGGGCCGAAGACAACGATACAATGTAGCAGATATGAAGAATCTGTTGGATCGCAAGCACGAGAGCGATGATGCCATGTAAATTTAACTGTGATTAATTTTTTTTTAAAAACTGTGTTTCATCAACTAACTAGAGAACGTTTCAAATAAATAATAATCTTTCATGTTCAAACTCTGAAACAAGTAAACAAAGCATTACATCTACCACGACGTAACAATAACAGATAAAATCTAAAACATACAGAATCAAGTTGCTTTGCCAGCTTCTGTTCTAATTAAATCCCAATTCTGTGAAGAAACGGGTTGAGAACTGGGAACTGAAACTCCACTCAATCGGAGGGAATTCTTTATTTGTTTCTTCTGAAATACATTTTCTATCATAAAAGTTCACCAGAAGCAAAACTTACGCCTACAATTGAAAATCGACCTATTTGGCCAGTATGAGCTATAGTAGGTCCCGGCACTATAGTAACGAAATCGTCTAATTTACACAAGCTCACACTAAGAAATCAGAATTAAGAAGTAAAGAGGCCATGGAGTTACCTATTGTTGAGACCATACTCTTTAGCCAATTCATCAGAAACATTGAGTATCTCAAATGGTTTTGCGGCGGATATAAATTCTCTTGAAGCAAAACGCGAGAGGTCTAAGAGATCTTGCTGAAAGATCAAAACAAATCATTTGAACCCAGATTTGAAACCTACAGTTGTCAAATCACTTTCTTTCAAGCCATTGATGTCAACAGCAAAAGTGAGTTCTCGAGCTGAAAAAAAGATTATAAGAAGACGTGTAATATGGCTCAACATACGTGTTTTGGTTACAATAGAGGAGGCAACATTAACTTGAACACCTTGTTTCAAAACTGCTCCAAGAAGAACTGAGCATGACAACCAATAAGCCTACGTTCCTTATACTAAACTCTTCGAACTCATAACAAATACCTGATTAATAATTGTAGTCCACTGAGGATTAGTGGTGTTGATGTCAATGAATGATATGTCGCATTTATGTGATACCGGAGCATTCATGCTGTGATACTCCACAGTTCCTGATTCGTAACTCATCTCAGCTAAGGCGAAATTTGCTAACTTTTGTACAGAGGCATCTAAAAACAACATTCTGATAGTCTTACTTAAGCACCAAAACGAACGTTTAGCACAAATAGAAGGCGTTGAATCGTTTTTATTCAAAAGATAAGATTTGTACGAGTCTCCTTGTTTAACTCTAACTACTATTTTCTCAATGTTCTCTCTGTTGTTATAAACTCTGGACTTTATATCGTTGAACAATTGTGAATCGACGGCTACAGGTGAAACTGAAGAGAACTTTCATCAAAACATTTTTATATATTAGCTTACTATTCGGTTCGACAACTTCTTTAACTCTTGAAGAAGCTAATAGTCGTTTAGTAGTAATGATTGGTCCATTCCCTGATCCACAAGTTTGAAATATTTTTTTGAGCATCATTTTTCTGAAAAATTGTTGGCATAAGTGAGTAGAATAATATCTTAGGTATTATGTTCTTTTATATATGGAAAAATATTAATAATATAATCATTTCGCTTAACCGAAAGCTTCTCTTCTATTTTCAAGCATCGCACATAAAATTGTTAAAGGTTGCGCCAAATAGACTCCTGCACGGAAGTTGGAACATTTGCCAACAATGCTTGTTCTGTCTACATGTTACATATAACTATATGTATAGCCTTATACAGCAACTTTTTTTTAATCTATAAACTACAGTATTCTTATATAGCATTTACTTATAGGAAGATTACAACCTATTTGAGAGAGAGACTAGCTCTCTTTTCTGAGTTATGTCTTTTAAAAGGAAACAGTTGGAACTACAAAGATGCTGTAGACAACGGTTAGTTCATTTAGATCTTTCTAATCGTGTGAATCTCTGAATATAGATCAGTTAGATATATAACAATATTTGTATTGTTGTCTGTAGCACTCTTTGGATTTAGTAGGTTGCATGATCAGGTTTGTTTGATTATGTTAACAAGTTTTATTTTTTCTCTCAGGATCCTAACGTAACCGATTATGAAAAGTATAAACCAAGAGAAAGTCCTTGGAATTCGCAAGATTTAGCCGGAGGTGTTGACCCTGGAGCTGTGTATACTAACGGAAAGTCTGGAAACTATGAACCCATATCCCCTGAAATTCCATCGGATCAACCAGGTTTGGTAAAGCTCAATTTTCATCAATCCTTATCGCTCTTAGGTGAAAACGGCGAGCCTGTGCAAATTACGGATGAAGAAGGAAGGAAACTTTCTATTGCTGCTGTTAACTCATTCGGTTTCAATACTTATGTTAGTGATATGATTTCCATGAATAGAACAATTCCTGACATAAGAATGAATGAGTAAGTGTTTCTCTGCATTCGTCATATTACTTCCTTGTCTCAGATGTAAATATTGGGACTATCCAGAAGAACTTCCAACTGTATCTGTGGTAATTGTGTTCCATAACGAAGGATGGACTCCTCTTTTGAGAACTGTCCATTCAGTTCTCCTCAGAAGTCCTCCACATCTTATTAAAGAGGTCGTGATGGTCGATGATGATTCTAATAAAGGTTTGTGTATTGTCTGTAGCATGCGTCATTCGTCTCTTCAGAACATTTGAAACAGAAACTAGAAAAGTATATAGCACAGTTCAACGGAAAAGTGAAGCTTTTCCGAACTGGTGAACGTGTAGGTCTTATCAATGCTAGAACTTTTGGAGCCAAGCATTCAACTGGAGATGTTCTCATATTTTTGGATGCTCATTGTGAGGTGAATACCAATTGGTTAGCCCCTCTTCTATCACCAATCAAGAATAATAGGTTCTATACTCTCTTTTAATTTTTATGTAATGTTATTTGAAGACGAGTTATGACTGTTCCTGTAATTGATGGAATTGACTCTGACACTTGGGCATATAGAAGTGTTTATGGAAGTGCCAGCAAACATTTCAGGTTATTCCCAATCTTTTTCAGTATGAGTTACCTTAGTTTTTCAGTGGTATTTTCGAATGGGGATTACTGTATAAAGAGACAGAAATCAGTGCGAGAGAGAAAGATGGTCGTCCTTATGACAGTATGCCATTCAGGTAATTAATTCGCATAGTTTGAAAACTTGTACTTTCATTGTTTCCAGATCTCCAACTCATGCTGGTGGACTTTTTGCAATTGATAGAGCATGGTTTGAGGAGTTAGGATACTATGATGATGGTTTGCAAATCTGGGGAGGAGAGCAGTATGAACTCAGTTTCAAGGTACCTCAGCACCTAGTAATAATTATTCGAATAATTTGTCAGATTTGGCAATGTGGAGGAGGAATATTGTTCGTCCCTTGCTCGCATGTCGGTCATGTATATCGTTCTCATATGCCATACAACTTCGGAAAACTCTCGGGAAAACCCGTTATTTCCACTGTAAGATTAACCCTTGTTCTTAATGAATTAGGTTTATTAAGAACATGATGCGTGTTATTAAAACTTGGATGGGTGATTACGAAAAGTACTATTTCATTCGTGAACCTCAAGCTCAGAAAGTAGATCCAGGAGATATTTCGAAGCAATTAGCTTTGAAAGAAAATCTTCAATGCAAAGATTTCAAATGGTATGCTTGAAATGTCCTTCTTTTATAACGTGATTGTTTAGGTATATGGATAATGTAGCGTATGATGTATTGAAGAGTTACCCATTACTTCCCGATAACAAAGTCTGGGGAGAAGCGCGTAACCCACATACTGGCTACTGCCTTGATCGAATGGGTGGTATTCCTGGTCCTTTGGGCGCTACTGGATGTCATGGTTATGGCGGCAACCAGGTGAGCATACAGTTACTGATTTCGGAAATGAAAACTATCAATTTCAGCTCCTCCGTTTGAACATGGATGGTCAATTGTCTCAAGGAGAGTGGTGTCTATCTCCTCATAGTGGTGGAGTTCAAGCCAACCATTGTCAGAAAGGATCTGTCAGTGGCCCATGGATGTACGACGATGTTGGTTTATCTGGGAAAACAAACGTTAATTGTTATATTCAGAACACTTCGCAAATAATGACTAAAGCAAGGCAATGTTTGACCATCAAGCCACGTACTCACGATATCAAGCTGGAGCGCTGTGATGCAGAGAGTCTATTCCAGAAGTTCATATGGAAGGAGTTCTACCAAGCAAGTTAAATAAATAATTTATTCATAATACTGGTATAATATTTCAATAGTATTGTTAATTAATATCTAGTCTGTCGTTAATTTAATGCAATAGCCATTTAGTTTTATTCATAATGAGTGCCTTAAGACTGTTTTTCATTGTTTGTTTTATGGCTGTTCACATTAGGAGGTTGCGGGGATTTTCTGTGATGATTGTACAAAAATAAAAGTTTTATGCTCGTTCACTTGCATTCATGAACTATTCCATCTTTAGCTATCCATGCTGTTCCTGTGTAGACAAATTTATCATCCTCATAGCATCTATAAACCGAAATGCCATCATCACCACAGCGCATATCAACATCGCCTGAACTTATAAGTTGATCTAGCTACATTCCACTCACTTACCTTTTCTCCATACAGTGTACTTCTTAACATGAAATCGGCTGTCTTCTACACTATCATTAACAGTCCCATTAAAACAACCTAGTGGAAATACTAACATCAGAATGGAACACTCTCACACCTTTTGGTTCAACTCTAGCTTTCCATCCTTGTTGTTGAATATTGCAGAACTTCAGCATGTTATTTCCTACTACGAAATGACCTGATTTAATTACATCACCACCTTTGGTACGACATCCTACTCAAGCTATTACTGTTGGATATAAATTTGTTGCATACCCTTGAATCTTCTCGATATACAACAAATTACTAGATCTCCAACATAAATATCATCCGAGAAGTCTGAAAAGTCGCTGCACACACCGACATTAACGGGAGCCACCTCTCCGGAACCTATTAAGAACTTATTAACCTGAAAGTTGATTCGAAGAAAACCTTCCACTTCTGCATCAGTATCTAAGCAACTGTACTCAACTCCATTTTCAATGTAACTCTTCGTGCCGACCTCAAGAACATGTCCGAGGTCTGTAAGGCAATTAAGGATCTGTTACAAGCTGAGATTACTTCACGAAATCACAACTTACCTTTATTTTCCCATTCTCACAAACAACTTGAAAGTTATCGTTTCTTGTCCATGTTTTGCCATCTGGAAACTTTTTTTCTCCATCTGTACACTCACAGGAGCTTAGAGAAGCAAGAATAAATAAAATTAGGATGGTCTCTATGAGCCGCGACATTTTTAACAACTTTAACGAAGCCTCAGGCCTGTCTGTCCCAACTTGGTGTAATATGATTAATAGTTTTAGCAGCTTGGCATTTGACCTCAATTAAGTGGTGACTCTTAAGAGTGTATTTTAAAAGATTGAGAAGTATCCGAATGAAACCAAATCAGAAAAGATAGTTTATGAAAACGCGCTCAGTTTATGTACATATACGGTCAACATTTTTTTACGAAACTCAAACATAAGCACTTATACAAAACAGATTTAATTGAAGCTAAACATGTGGCTACGATCTTAATAGATTGGAGAAGCGTTATGTCGTGGTGCTGGAGAGTAGAAAACGATCATTGCAAGGTAGCCCTCTTGCTTTATTGGGGCACTTCAATTTCACCTGAATCCGATTGCGAGTCTTTGATCTTCTGCTGGACTTCGTTTCGAAAATTATTAACTTTATCCGCCACTGTCAAGAAGAATTCCTTGATTTGAATTAATGTTCTCTTGAAAATTTCAGTCTTGAATCAAACATATATCGGCACACTTACATCATAATCGAAGTTATCATACTTCTCTTTCAAGATTTCCCACAAATTCAGAACGTATTCATGGAGTTTTTGGTAGTGTCTTTTGAGTTGGCAGGATGCATCGCAATCCTGGAATCGGGAATAGAATTCAACGTAAAAGATTGATGACTCTGTTGATTCGACCGCATGACGTGAAAAGAGAAAGATAAAAAAAATTAAAACTTACACGACTAGGTCTGAAGATCTGAGGAACTTTGCTTATTTCAGTCACATTTTTATCACAATCAGAAACAATTTTCACAGCTCTATATTTATCCGTTGACGAACAGTTGAAAGGATTTCGCTCAACATCAATCACCTTAAGATAATTCAATATTAGTTTTATGGTAGGCCGACGAGAAACCTTGAGGTCTGGAAATTTGAAAAGTAAAACCTTCTCATCAGGAAGGTTGACAAGTTTGTTGTAAGTCAATCCTATCACTGGAAATCCTCTCAATCTACCTAATGAATTTTTTAAACTACTTCTTCCACAAATGAAACATACTCTCTGGAAGTGAAAGCTCAGTGCGATGCCCATTATGACAATGAATCACTTCGTCATCCGTATCACATTCGCAGTCATCCAGGCAATCGAATACGTATGCTATGAAATAAGTTGAGTATGATTAATAAATATATAAAAGTTACCACTAGATAATGAAAATATAGTTAATAGAAGAAAATATCTTGACTGCATTCTTGCTTGAAGACTATCTTATGCTTATACCTCCTTCTGTTTCTCCTTCTTTTATAAGATAAATCCAGCAACAACTGACACAAGATCTCTACACATGAAACACTGAGGTAAATCCAGAGAGATTTCAACCTAGGAAACTGTGACGACTCTTCTCACCCGAAGCTAAGACACGTCATAGTCACATCTTATCTGTACTTGGACAGTTGTTTTTTGTTCCTTGGCCTTTCCCTTCCGGCATAAACAGAATGAGTCATATTCATCCTCCTCTGAAAAGTTCATCCAATCTTTGTATTTTTTTTGATTTTTGAAAGATCATCAATATAGTGAAACTTCTTCATCGCAAACATATGAAGACTACTAATTAACAATGAACGACCACACAGCTGGAACGCAACCGAATGAAAACACATAACAGACTGTTGATATGAGTGTGCGGGGAGACGTGTAACAACAAAACTAAATAATATGTATCATACAGCCTTTTTATTTATAAAAAAGCAAATTACCAACTCATAACTACTAAATGGATATCCATTGCAGCAAATTAAGTGAAATTTTGAATTACAATATAAAGTATACGAATGAGCAAGATAGGAAAAATACTACTTTCGAGCTTAATGCATTGAATATGAAGAGCCTGAGATATATCTACCTGCAAATGAATTATTGGCAGTAAAATATAGAATGGATAGGGAAAGGGGGGGGGAGTGAGTTTGTTCACACGAAGATGACCACGAAAAGCTGCTATAGGTCTGCTTTAGTAACGGTTGTTAAAAACATTGCTCTTTAGTTTTACCAATACCTGTCTTAAGAAAAGATTCATAAGCAGTACATAAATAATTTCACGGCTCCCTTGGTAAGACGTCTAATCAATCGATAACTTTACTGAGAATTAAGTAATCCAGTCCTCTGTTCTCGTCGGGACATGTGACATCAGCTTCATAACCAAGCTTATGGAAGAATCCTAAGGATTTAGCATTGAATGCAAAAACTGTAGCCATGACTTTTTCCATTCCAGTCCTACGAATATGATGAGTTAGAAAACGAGGATTTGCTGACAAACCTTGCACAAAGATTTTCTAATGTCTGGATAAGTAAAGATCCTATACCCTTCTTCTGATACTTCTCACAAACTTGAATCTCATAACTAAAACAATCCACGATTGGTCGTGTACGATAGATTACACATACCAATAAACTACAGGAGCAGTGTGGTCAACATCGAACCTGTAGTGAGCATACCCTACTCTATCACCAGTAGCATTGTAAGCAACGAGATATCTAGAAACAGACGATTGTATATTCGTACATGCAACAGCTCTGAAACCTAGCTGTTGTTGCTCCTAATTCTTGTTTCTTAGATTCTGGATCCCATCCCCATTGCGACTTGGTATACCTGATTGATGGTAAGTCTACACAAATTTTTTTCTTCAAACTCACAGATCGTACATGTTCTCTTTGAAAAGATCGAAAGCCCAATTGGACTCCTCTTCCGTCAGATGGGTAGCCCAACAAGTTTTGAAACTGATAAGTTCTCTAAAATCAAACGAACTGACATGAAAAAAAATTCAATTTACCCATCAAGTGTTCTCCTATCCTCAAAAGGTGGATAACAATCCAGCTGATTCACAGGATCTTTCATTTTAATAGCTTTCTTAACAACTTTCTTCGCATTTTCTGCTGGTGCCATTTTCTAGAAAGCTTGTTAAACATAACATCCTGTGGATTCATGAGATATCTGAACCGCAAAAACGGTTGGAAAAACTCGTACAATCCCTTTGATTCTATTTTTTTCGAGATGTTCAAACGAAAATAAAATGTAAATCGAAGAGCTCTCACATCTGTACCAGTCATGATAAATTGAACTAGATAATCTATCAACTAAAAGAAGCTGAGTTTGAAAAAACAAAAATACAACATTAAACAACGACACTAAACTAAACAAATATTATTAAATCATATGCTAAAGGATTCGCCACAGCCACACGTTCCTTTGATATTGGGATTGCGGAACACGAATTCACTACTAAGCTTGCTTTGTACATAGTCCATTTCGGTACCCAGAAGACTGAGTTGAGCTTTGGGCTCAATCCAAATTTTTATGCCGTCCTTGAACAAAGAGTTTTGACACTATGGTAAGGTTTCAACCAACCTGCTCAACTTCTTCATCAAATTTAGCCTTATCAGTGGCATAATCTAATGTATAGGTTAAGCCATTACATCCTTTCTGCCTCACACCAATCTAACAAAAGCATACTCAAAACAACAACACTAACTATTTACCTTTAAAGCTATAGCCTCGTTTGATTGGTCAAGTAGAAAACGTACTCTGCTGATAGCTTCCGGGGTCAATGTTAAAGCAGCTCTGAAGAAAGAAATAATATACAGAACACAAAAGGCATACTACTTGGTTTGTTTGACACGTGCGAGACCTTTGACAACTCTTGCTGTTGCCCCTCCCAGTTTCGACATCTAACTAAGAGAAGGAACGGAGAGCTAAAGTACATGTTGTAAAAGACAATAGTATAAACAATTACGGAAAGTAGAAACCGAGAGAACGGGTTTGGATTGATAACAATTGAACTGAATGTTTAAATCTTCCACAGAAATATATGAAATAAACACTATAATAGTTATAACAAAACGGCTCTACTGTCTTAGTTGCCACCTCTAGGTTAATCATAGCGCGCTTTCTCATTCTCGCCATGAATGAAACCGGTCGTTGCTTTGCGTATCATTATTGTTAGTAAGAAAACATCCTATCTAGAAAAATTAAATTTTTTTAAATTCGCATCTAAGCGTTTCCCTGTCGTAATATAAACGGTGAATTCATACAAGTCAATCCATTATTATCTCAAATATTTAGGTCAGTGTTTTAGAGGCTTAAGCTTCTCAAGCCATAGGCAGAGTATATGCCACAGCCCCTACCTCACTAGCCAAGACCAGAGTTTACGCATGCCAAAGCATCTACCCCAGTAGCCAAGACCAGAGTTTACGCATGCCAAAGCTCACGTTTGCCACTATAGATACGGTGAGAGATTAACGCAAGGAAAGGCAACTAAGAAACAAATGAGACGAAAACAATATTAATTATGCTAGAATAAGAGCACAGCTTGAGGAACTGTACTGACGTTCCCGTATTCGTCATAACGAACTGTGCACATGTCCGCAGGACCCAGACTGACGATTGTTGCGGGATAGTACTATAATGATATGAACAATTTGAAAACGAGCAGAAAAGTTGAACGAACTCCTCCATCCGTCCAAGGCGCCTTGCACTGTTGACCCACTTTCCAAACCGGCATACCCTTGGAGTATCCAGGTCTTTTGTTCTGCTTGTCATGGAAAGGCTTACTTCTTCTAAAGGTTACTGGGGGCCCTATATGCATGTTGGACATTTCTGCAAGATTACATTGAGAAAATGATGTCATATGATGAAATACTGTGAACCATATCCTCCTCTAACCCAGGGAATCCACTCTGTTCGAAATGCCTAGGCGGTTGTTTCATCTCCCTCTTCAAAATGGTAGGCATTCATTGTACTATGTAAAAATGATACCTGATAAGTTGGATTTGGAGCTTTCGGTGGCCTACTAGGTCCTTGATGAACAGGGTTTCTATCATGTCGTAAGTCATTGTAGTTGTGATTGTAGGCACTAAAATGTATTGAATAAGAAAGAAGATGAAGCCGATTAAGCGCTATCAGTCGGCAATTTGAAGTTCATCACGTCAAAGTCACGTATTGAAGGCGCTTCAAAAACGCGCGAAAGTCACGTAACTTTTATTTTGAATTTCACCCATCGCTACTCTCTCTCAGCAAAAAATGTTTGGCCCCAGAACTAGAATAAGACATACATGCAGAGTGTCTATACTTAAGCGACGAGAGCTTGTCTTAGACGAGCCTCTTCGTACGCTCATATCTAGAGTTATACTGTAGACTCTATGTAAGACCGAAGTATAGAGATCTCCAGATTATCATGTATAACCTTAGTGACGCTTATGTATGATCAAGTTGTAATTAGTTCATAGATACTCCGCTCTATATCTTTATCATGAACTGTGTGCTATTGTGATCTATAGAACCTACTCTTATAATAAACCTTATCTAAACTATTTGAATTGTTCTCATGGGCTTTCCCGTAATGCTCAATCCCGCAACAAACAGTTATGAACTCTTTCTTTCAGTTAAGCTTACGTGCTGGATTGAATGTTCGAACGTCCAGTGTGATCGTTGTACCGTCTATGCTCATTATCACGATTGTTTCGAGGAGGATTGTTAGATCTACCACCAGCTCCACCTCCCCTCGGCTTTCTGTTGTTGTCGCGAGGTGTTGACTTTTCCTCAAAATCGTTGAATATGGCAGTTGGCAATATACAACTTACTTTTGGTAAACTTGTCGGAGGGGCACTTGAAGCAGGAAGGATTCCTCCACTGGTCATGAAGTCAAATAAAGTAGAAGGTGCAGAAGGTCTAGTAAACTCAGCAGGAACCTAAAAGCCATTATCAATGTGGAACTGTGCACGAAATTTTACATCGGCATCTTCACTATTTCTCCTCCTGCGGCCTCCTCTCGGTTTTTCTTGTCTCACTTTGGGGGGTTTTTCTCGTCTATTATTATCGGTTGAAGGAACAGGTACTGGCGGTAAAGCTATCTAAAACTCTTCAATTAGTCATCGATGTAGTACTATATTACCTTGGGAGCAGCAAACACTTTTTTCGCCGTGTCTTCGGAAGCCAACTCAATATTTTCTTTGCGTTGTTTCAAAAAGGTGTCATCCTCCTGTTGCTCTTTTTTTGTTGTGTTATTAATGAAGTCATTAGCTTTGAAGTTTCGAGTATTTTGCTCTTTGTTGTTTTTTTTACTTCCGAACGATACCCATACAGGTGCTGAAATTGGTCCTTTTCTACTAACTCCTTGAATAGCGTTCTAAGATTAAAGAATTTCAAGCTCATACTATAACATGTGTTTACCTTTTCAAGGACCCATTTTTCAATCAATGCTTCTACTTTCCCTCCAAGTACGGTGACCTGACTTCGTGAAAGTATTAGAAATCCTCCTTCAATAGGTATTTTTCCCATTAAAAGTACTTTGGTCCCAGGAGGCGTGTTAGAGCTTAACAATTAGTTATATTGTAATTGTGGTTCTCGCTTTACTTCAATCCTTTGATTTCATCAAACATGAGTGCGGATATGCTCCCATGTCCATCAGTGAAAAATATTCGAGTGATTCCTCCGTGATAGTTATCTCCTATCTGAGGATGGGATACGTTTCTAGAACTCATTTTAAGTACCGAGAAATCATTTAAGACTAACCTATGTCGCGAAATTTGAAGGACAATCGGACCGAGAAGGAATGATGATTCTTTATTTATATCAGAAAGGCCTGGAGATCCATATTTCCTAATATCCACCTGAAATAGAACCTTTTATGGTCATTATCTCGATGCTTCTTACGTTACACAATTGTCTCTCTAACTCTTTTGAATCTCTCGGAACTTCTTCGAGAACATCTTCTATCAACGAGTGATTAATATTCCAGCCAGCGGAAACAGTCATGACTTGAAAGATATCAGTCTAAGAAATTGAGTATAGGAAAAGATTATAGAAATGGAAATAGGTAATAATCCGGTACAACGGATTCATGAACAAGAGAAATATGTGCATGTTCCATAGAAATTTAATAAATTCAATGTTCTATATACAAATTTTTATGACTTTCTCAATCATACTCATTAAGTAGATAGCATCTTTGTACTTCATCGATAATCCGCAGTATTATATTATAATTCTAGATTGGTATGGTAAAGAATGTGAAAAGAAGTCGTTGGGTGCGTCTAACTCTTTCTGTAAGAAACACGTCCCTCCTATCTGGATTTTTGACTAAAAAACTTTGATTTTTATTTTGAATGTTCAATCATTAACTGTACCGAGGGAGGCTTGAAATAAGTGCACTTTCTGTTTTCATACCCTGGAATGAGCAAGTCGAAAAAAAAAGATCCATCTTCTAGAGCCTCTATTTCATGAATATTTCCTACGGTTGGGATCAGTTAAAGTAGTTTAAAACAGAATGATACCTGTTTGAGGCTCTACAACGACCACACCATCATCAGGCGTAATGATTTTCTCCCCTTGATAACATGCCTCCGCATAGCTTAGGTCATCTTCATGGCTCCTAATTGAATAAGATTGAATCTATATAAATTTACTATTAAAATAAAAACAAAATTATCTTACTTTTAAAGTACCCCGTAAGCATTTGATGAATCCATGTATGCCAGGGTGATCATGAAGCGGTAATCTATCAAACTTTCTTCTAAATCCGAACAAACTGACATGAACTCCAAGGCCGTCATAGATGGAGGAAAACATCACAGGAGCAGGCGAAAACGTACAGTATTCAACATCAGGAAGCTGACCTGAAAATCTTTGTTCTTCTGGTACTCAAATGTAGTTAACTACCTATGACGTCTTCTGAAACCGCTGATAGTTCACTCGCAACTGATCGAATGGATGACCTGTCTCCGCTCACCACTGAGCCTGAAACACTACAGGAAAATATTAGAACCGATGAGAGATTAACTAACCTGGAGATTACTCGTATGATAGATTCTAATATTCTGAGATCCGCAGGCGGTCGAATAGCCATATAACTACAACGGAAAATGAGTCAAGTTGGAAAAAGAGAGAAGGTATTGATTGAAAAGAAACATGTAATGGAGAATCTCAACAAGTATAAAAACATTTTATGCAAGGCAAGATAGAAACTCATTGTGAAAAAAACACAGGGACAAACCCTTCATATCACTGGCTATCACTGGTATTATCACAGATAAAATTATTACTTTAAAAAATTATGAAATTCATCATACCCGATTTGAATATCAGACTTTGGATCTGGATATGTGGTACTCCAAAGTTTTTTGGAACAATCACCGTTACAGCTATCAACAATAGAATAAAACTTTTCAACTAAAACTTTCGAGGTATCTAACTGTGTAGAATCGAAAACGGGGAATGATATATTGGCAATTATAGAAGTATCTTGAATTATGGCAGACCAAATACCGGCTTGTTCTTTTTTCATAGAGAATTTGACTAAATCTAACTGAGAGAATTGAGATCCGTAAATTGAGTCATAGGAAGGAACTTTCTGAAAGAATAACACGTAGGAACAAGCAAAGATGTGAACAATTCTTACCTGTTCAGCTACTATCTGATTCTGTGCATCTCTCCATATCAACTTGATTGGTGGACATGTCTTCGTTGAATTAACAGTTGTAGAGAGATCGGCTAATCTCTTCCATCGGAGTTTTATCATTGGAGACCCTTGCTGCATTTAAATATAGATGATACAACAATATGGCTAGCTTACCAAGTTTGTGAAGGATGTGAAGTGCCTGAAGATTTCTTCCTTATGATCAAGGTTTACACCAAACTGGGTATCCTCTAACTGATACCCATCAACGATGGCTGGTGAAACGATATGAGATTCATGGGCGAAGTCAACCAAAAGTTCTATAGGTAGTTGACTTTCGAAGACCTTTAGAAATACGATCAAACAAAACAATAAAAAAGCATGAAACCTGGATTGTGAAAACGGTCCTAATTGAATGAGCAGGGCTCTGTTTGAAAGCATCTATCCTTTGAAGAGAGAGAAACTTCATGGTCTTGAAAGATGACATAGATAACAAATTTTTGGCCAATAAACTATTGTCTTCAGCTGAAAACTTTTCTGTGATTTTAAGGAAAATATACTCAAAGAACTCACAAAATCCATCTATATCTGCTTTATAGAAATTAACAAAAGTAGAATTGAAAGAAGGATGATCGGTGTTCAACAGATGAGGTCTATAAATTAGAGATCAATAGGTAATATTCAATCAAACCGACTTGAATCGCATGGCTTGCGCTTCTGCCAAAGCGATCGGCTCAATATCCACAAGACTTTCGAACTTTCTAGCCACATATTGCGACTTACTGATGACATTCTTAAATCGTACTGAGAAGAAGAACTTTCAGGGTTTCTAACCTGTAGGCTGAATTTAGACGAATGCTCTTTCTTGAACACTAACGGAGAGCAGCCACACCAATCAACAACTTTTTTCAAAGTTGCACAACGACAACCTAATCTCAATAAGTAGATGTTGATGAATTTCATGAGTACCTTGTTTCCTATTCCAATTAGTAAGTCGGAGATGATTTGAGAAAATAGTGCCACAGAAACGGGAGTTATGGCCGAGCTAAACTGACGCATTTTTCGGGCAATTCAACTGTGGAGGCTTACCGAATGATAGAAGCTCTCAACAGGGAGGATTATGGACGAGAACAAGTTTCTCATTTTTGTTGGTAACTCCTCGTTCGACACAGAATACTCTGCAAATTTACGGTGCAGAACAATCCAATCAGATCCTCCATCAATTCTCAAGTTATGTGGAAACTCTCCCCTAAACACATTTATCATACATGTCTTAACATTTTTAAGAGAACCTCTTTCCGATTCGCCACATTCTCTCTTCGCACTCTTGAAAAACATAATCGAAGCCCTGTTTGTGAATGAACTTTGCCGTATTATACCCATGTCCTGCCAAATAGGACATTCCTTCATTCCTGTAGTTAAATTATAATGCAAGGGATTATTTAGCAAGATATACTTGGTTAGTTGAGCTTCAAGCTCTGCCAAAGACAAGACCGGAAAGTCACTTTCAGACATATTGAATAGATAGTCCCAATTAGCTATATGAGGAATTGATATTGAGCGTCTAATTGCATCTGAAAACGAGAACAAGTTCAAATTTAAATTGAGCTCTAAATACCTGTAACCATCTTCAATAGTGACGCCCCGCCCCATATAGTGCTATGTCCATCTGGTGCTACATAAACATTCCGTAGCTTCGCGGCTACAGCTCTCATTTCTGAAAAACAACGGTTTTAGAAACTAATTCAATGATATCAAGATTCGATTTTTCTACATAAACTGTACATTTTTGATTGTAAATTGTGGAGAGGAGAATAATAAACTTTGAAAGGTACCTGTGAGCATATACAGTTGCCTTTGATCTACATGAATGTAATAGAAGTGATCAGGTGAATAGATAGCTTTCAACAAACGTTTCACCTAGAATTTGATAATTATTTTTGGAGTGATGGAGTGCTTACTTGACGATCGTTGCGACCATTTAACTGAAGCAAGAACAGTATACGAACTACTTTGTCTTGACGGATGTGCTCAGAACTAATGTTAACATACGAAGCTTTTTCGTTTAGTGTAGCTTCTATCAATGATCCCAGTTACCATGTAGATAACTGCAGAACTTACTTAGATGACCGGTTCGAAAAACATCAACTGCGTTGAAACCTCCACAGTTTTGAAGTTCATTCCCACTGCAAGTGTATTCCATACATCGTTCTTGTGGCAAAGGTTTCGCAGAAATAGAGTCCCCACAGAAACATTCACGTCCAAACTCGAGTCCTGTTATTATTTATCTTCAATAAGTATATTGGGAAACATCCTCACCGTAGTATAGAAACCCTGCTCTATAGCAACTGGCTTGACATTTTTCTCGCGAGTTATCCGTTTTGAACTCATATGCAAACTCTTTCAATGAACGTTCTTTTTGAGAATCAGAGAAACAACCGACATGAGTTGCGACTAGAGACGAATCTGAAATATGCTGTTTAAGGTACAGCGTCAACAAAACTAACCGAAATTAGGACAACTACTCTTCGGGAAGTTATCATGAAAGTTACCGTTCTTTAATTTACAGGATGATTCGAGCAACTAGAACGGTTGAAACTAAAGTAAAACTGGAGAATGACAAACCTTCAATCTACAGCTTTCCGTTTTCACTCGTTCTAGAGCGCTTTTTGCCAAAGAATCGGTTACAGTGCAAGCATAGGGATCCTCCTAGCAAATATTATATTATTAGATTCTGACAACAAAGAAAAACTGACTTTCTCGACCGACTTCAGAGGCTCTAAGTATTTCGAAGGATTAGGATGTTCGATGAAGTAATAAATAACGAATAAGTTTCCGAAGAAAAACAACAATGTCACGACTACAACAAACAATGAACGATATATCGGCCAACGTAAAAACGTGGAGAACATCTTATTCTGAAATGGCAACTGATTAAGCAACTGAGATGTTGAAACTGACATGGAGAACGATTTTCAAAAAATATTCACGACAATCCTTTCTGACAAAGGAATGATGATCTAAACATTCATAGCATCTGGAAAAAAGTGTAAACTCATATAGATTTTGATGTCATTCAATATTTAAAAGATCAAGCAGAAGAAGTTGTAAGATAGATCAATAGCATATCATAAATCATTTCTCAATAACAATTGTTAACAGATGTAATTCATTCAAGTATGATGATCTAAACTTCAGGCGCCCCACTTATCTCAATACAAGCTAAGTCTTCTTAGCCTGGTATTGACAGTAAGTATGAAGTTAGTGGATCAAGCTATATTGAAACCACGTGAGTTTCTAAAACGTCAGCTTCTGTCATTCAAGAATGAAATAAGGTAATGGATAAATCAATACTTCATGATTATTCGAGATCAGACGGCTACTGCCGCCATATATTAGATTCGTCTATCGAACAGTTCGCGACCGTCTTGATTGGTTAAAATCATCCTTCTTTTTTTCCGCTTTATCATTGATACAACGGTGTACTAAGCTATATCCATTATTGAAAGGCTTAGATTCATGAAGCTAAAACCAGAAGTAAAGTGTGAAGCAGAAGCTCCACACGAAACGATTGATACTGTTAATAAGCAGACTTGTTTTGTTAACTGCACTCCACTACCAGAATAAAATAATATTTAAACGACCATTAAGCTCTAGAAATCAGAAATGCCTCATTCGAGAACGATTGACACACAAATTTGGAATACATTAGTCATTCAAAATTAGTGGAAGTTTGATTTCTTGTTCTAGTTCATTGTAGAAGCTTCAAAGCAAGTTTGCTCGTGAGATTGAAAACGCCTTCATTTTAACGACGAGTTTTCACGGACCAGTAACATTTTCTAAAAAAACTTCCTGCTCAGTAGAAATAGCAGAACCTTTCTGTGAATCACATCTGTATTAGCATATTCTTGGAATGCGAGAGTTCCATCTTTCAATATTCTTACTTTTTGTATTACCATTCGCTAGTTTTTCTAAGAAAGCTTATTATTTAGAGGAAGGTCCGGAGCATACTTATGCTACGAACATAGAACAGTATTACAACTGACGCTTTAATTTCTCACAAATACTCTTCAGAACTCCTGAGTTAAACAACCAAGTTTTGGAACTACTAGATCTTAAAGCTCCTACTGTTGCTCCTGTTAGAGAGAAGAGGCATGATCGTGTTTCTACGTATATGGAAAAGTTGTATAAGCAACTGGAGCTTGAAGACAAGATTTTGTATGTTAAGCACGATTGATATTCAATATATTTGTAAATTGCAGGAACGAGGAGGCTGAAAGTAAAGATTCATCTTCTATATGGAGTACAGCTGATAAGATTATGACTTTAACCGCTGAAGGTGCTTAGTTTTCGGAATCTCTTTCACAAATATTTTCAGAAGTCACATCTTACGGAGAGAATATGTACAAATTGAAATATGTTGCGGATAATTTCTTATCGGATAACAAGAAGCCAACTTTAAGTAAAGCTGAGCTTCATCTATTTCTCCGAGACACTGAGGATGTTGTCAATGTCAAACTATATTCTGAAAAGTAGGAATTTTTTTCAAATTTCTCCGTTCTTCTTATTCTTTTAGAAATGGTAAACTAAACTTGATTCTTTCCAAGTCTGAGTCTTCTGCTAACGGAGAGTTCATTCTGAATGTTACCGACTTAGTTCAAAAGTGGCTCAAAGACTCTATGCAATCTACTATTTATGTTCAATTGTCACAAGGTTTATCAGTTGATTACAATCTTTTTATGTTTGCGCTGTTGTTTTAGGAGAATCCATTATTGATTCTTTCATAGTTGCTGCTTTCACCGAAGGTAAAATTCTCTTCATTTCTGCAAACTTGAAGAGTGGTTTCATTTTTACTTCATTAGTATATATAGTTTCAGAAAGTAAGTCGACTAAAAATCGTTCGAGACGTTCTGTCGACTCACCAATACCGACGAAGCGAAGTGAAAATGAAAATGTTAAAGAAGATGTAAGGGAGGAAAACGAGAACGGTCAGTTTCTGTAATTTTCTGTACTTCTCCAGCATTCTTGTACTGTAATTAGATTTTTGGTATTGTTGTGTTTCAGATGGGGGTTGTAAGCGCCATGGATTGTACGTTAACTTTGAAAATCTAGGATGGAAGGTAGTCAAGCGTTTATAGTTGGGCCTGCAATTCGTTTTCAGAGTTGGGTGATTGCTCCGGAAGGATACTCAGCTTTTTACTGTGATGGAGGATGTTCTTACCCTCTTCATAATAAGATGAATGCATCTAACCATGCTATAGTTCAGTACTTGGTGAGAATTCGTTCTTGACAAGAAACATTTCATGCTTTTCAGGCACACAGTATCAACCCTTCGAGAGCGGAAGATACGAAATGTGCACCAACTGTGCTAACGCCATTGAAAATATTGTTTATAGATAACCATAAAAATGTAGTAATGAAGAAATATAGAGATATGGTTGTTCAAGAATGCGGTTGTCATTAGTTGTAAACGTTTCCGAATGACTACCCATTCAATAACTCTACCAATGCTTTAAGTAGAAACTTTAACATTAGAGTTGATCTTATTCATTCCCGATGTATGGTGCTCCCGATACGCATTTTATACTTGTCATAGATGGTGCTATTTTTGAAAATAATAAATGTTTATGAATAAAGTTAATTTAGATAAATAGGTCAATTGTTGCCCAGATATTTGAGAGATACTCTTCGAATACTATTTTCGATACAAAATGAGATTATGAAATTTTCGGAAAGCATTTAAATTCCATTGGAGTTTTACTTCATTTCATCAGCTGTTTTCTTTCTCTGCCATGCAGGCGGAGCAACCAATACCAGAACGGTAATACAATAGAGAACCACCGATATGACTGAGAAGTTGAAAATGTAATCCAATTTAGAGTTGCACTTCAAAGAGAACGAGCATCCGAAACTGAAACAATACAGCATGAGGAAAGGACGAATGATCAGGTTGGTCCTAATTTCTTCTTGAAAAAAATGCGTGGGGCATGACGTGGAACGTTTCAATATCACGCCCCCTGGGTGCTATTCTTCAGTGGTGCTGACAGAAAAGCGGTTGCATATCTTTTGTTTTCAATAATGAGATAATTGAACTAACTTGGAAACAGGGCTGTTGTCTGCAAAAATGGAATATTGTGTGAATCCAATCAGTGTTTGAATGCAGCATAAAAGGAAGCTCACACAACCAACTGTTCTGTGGACTGGCATGAATTTCTGTTTGACCTCTAAACTGACTCCAGGCAACAAGTAGTTGACAAATCCGAAAAAGAACTAAAAGATATTGTTCAAAGTAGAACAGAATACTGCAGAAGAGTACCTGCGCTAAGTACAGAGCCATTGCAGCCAGCCCAATCCAGCTGTGAACTGATTTGAAGTTTTTATTGCCCTAAACGGAATGCAATAAAAGAAACACTGAATTCTAACTTACATCAATGTTTTTTTGTTGAATTGCTACTATAAGCCCGACAACAAAAAATCCTATGGCTAAAATATGGAAGAGGACATGAACCAACTTTGAGAGAAGCTTGATATCGTAGCGGTAGAGACGATAGGACAGTAAAGCTGGAAAATAGGATTACAGATGGAAACGAGAGAGAAGAATTGAGAAGAATGAAAAATATTTTGTACACTTTAGAGCTTAAGATCCCATTATTGGTCACCCACAAAAGGTGTGGTAAAGAAGTCTGCTATAAGTCATAATCGCGTTTATCATTCAAGGTGAAGGCCTCAAATAACTCTTATGATAAGCATGGAAAGTATGAGTTTATTGATTATATGGGTAAAAGGAATATAAGGCTTCTATTTTAGCCTAAATATGGTTTTGCATCATTCTTTGGATTTACCTTCTCCTTGAAAGTACACAAGACCGAGCAGCATGAAGAATGCATGGAAGTTTTGAGGATTTCCTTTTCTTTCCTCGCTTGGCCATTCCAAGCCGAAACCCATCGTATTGAATAGATAGCCTGAGGTGATATATATATTTCAATAATTGTTATATAAACCAACCTGATAAAATTACCATTGAAAAGCCAAAAACTTGGTTCAATGCAAGAAGAATTTCGAAATTCCGCAGCTTCCATTGGCTCGGTGAAGAGGAACCTTCAGATACCATATTGATCAACCGTTCTCAAGCTGTCGAGAATCTGCTTTATAGAGGTTGCTAGACGTGACTGAAACCATTACTTTGAGACAAGAAATTACTAATGTAATAGTAATGCCAATTAGGAGGAGTTAAGTACTATCAGTTCTGATTCATAACCACATGATTCATTGTTAGTTGAGAAAGTGTAGGAAGAAGGAGAAGGAATATACAAAATAATTTTTATGACTTTGAAAAGTGTTTGTCATCTCTCATTTTGATTTCGAAGAATTCATAGCGTTTACAAATATGCAAAAAAAACATTAACACTTGATGCCATCTTAACGCAATCAAAGTTTCTTGGCTCTGCTTTTGTCAGTTATCTATAGAGCAAAGAAAATGGTTATCATATATTAGGGTCGAATATACATTGCGCTACACCACACGAATACTATCGCAAGAGGAAGAGATTCGCTGATTATGAGTTTCAAACAAATCGCAGCTTTCCAATAGGACAAAAAAATGAGGATGATAGATGAGGAAACAGTAACCTGCCAGAAGAAGATAGAAACTGAAGAAGGATGAAAAACGTAGTGATGTTCAAGGAAATAGTCTGAGAGCCGAATGATTTTGGTATTAGCTTTTGAACACAATGCTTTTACTTCGTCTCTCTTATCAGTTTGTCCAGAGACTCCACGTTCTAACAATACACTGGTTGCCGTCCAATGATATCGATGTCATATTTGGCTGATGTTTGCCAGCTATGAACATTAGGCAATGTTTTGTCTTGCATGTATCTTTATGTATTCCAATTACTTTGATTAGAACCGCTTCCGAAAAGTACTGAGACTCAGCGATAAACTGATATAGAAAAATGTTTTATTACAATATTTGCTATCGCAAGTCAGAGTTAGGATCTTTCCTTCATCGCTGAAATTTTAGGAGCTCATGAGCAGAGCCTTACTTGAATGGACAACCAGATTTCTTCTTTGCAATTATGGTCTTCGCAAATTGAAAAAACTCATATGGGGATCAAAATCTTTGTTAGTGTTGTCTGAAAAAACTGTTAACAGCCAAGGGTACGTTTTACTTACGTCGAAGTCTATCTGAATTCTTCTTAGTACAATTTATGTCAATCCATTGAACCTCTTACGCTATGGAGTTGTTAATAATCAGATTGTACAAATATTTATAACATTCCGAACGAGACAAGGTGAAATCTGTTTTTCTTTTCAATAGTTTTATTTTTTATTTGTCAGGCTGTGTGAAGCATGAAGAAAGGGTAATGCGAGTTGTATCACTTATGTATATACCAAAAGAGGAATTCCTCTTGGGATCGGACGATATTTACAACATATTCGACAAGGACCCTATCACATTTGCTAAATTAGACGTAGGAGTGATTTCCTAACGAAATGAGCAAAAATTAATATCAGACCATGCGTCCTTTCACTTTTGATGGTTCTAATATTTCACGCCGCCCGATCGACTCTATCCGACTTGCTCCAGTAAAAACAAATCGTAAGATTTCGAGCTCTTTCGATTTTGCAGAGGATTTAACAAAAGTCTTCAGAACACCCAGGTGAGCTTACCTAACGTACAGCTTTAGAAACTTGGATTTTAAGAATTATTTATCAACATGATGTTTTAACTATGATAACTACTGATAAGTTTACAAAGGAGAAAAGTAAACACTGTTTTAGGGTATGTCAGACTTGTGCAATTTCTAACGCCAATCTATAACATGGCTGTTATAGGTTGACTGCTTCCAATCCCCCTGTATAGTTGATTTGAGAACTTCTGTGTATGAAACTGCGTCTGTAAATCAAAACATTCCATATGGGGATTATGCAGATTTTAAAAAGATCCTCCCGACTGCTCTACCAGAAGTACCGCGACCACTTTTCACTATCATCGAAAGAATGCGCGACTTACTGTACGCTTCTGAACATGTAAGATCAATGAATTTATGCGTTTTAGAATATAATGATTGAGATAAGAGAGGAACCATTAGTTCTATTGTTAGTTGGCAGCGCAGGAGCTGGTAAAAGACTTCTAGTAAAGCGCTTCTCTGAGCTCACACACCAGGTTTGAGAGAACTCATTAATCCTTTCCCACTCGCTGCTCAGAATTTGATTGAAATCAATTGTTTCGACATATGGAGCGATATACCTGCTCAGACTGAAGCTAAACTGAAGCTCTTGTTCGATAAAGCAAAGAACTGTCAACCATGCATAATTCATTTTAGTAATGTGGATGTTTTGGGTTTTGACCCTAACTCCTCCGAAATCGGTAAATTTATTTTTTCGCTGAGTATTTTACTGTTCTTAAGATCACCGTGTCATATCTACTGTACGAAACTTATTGGACGACCAATCGAGATTAACTGTAATTTTCTCTTGTCGTTCAGATTTAGTAATGTTGTTGCAAGTTTCTTCACTGATACTCCTGTTCTTAGGTTACCCAACTGTCATCATCACTGCTATCAATAGCTCTATATCATTTCTCTATTGAACATTTGAATGAAGAAGATCGTTTGATATTTCTCTCTCACCACTTCTCTACTCCAAATGCTCAATTCGCTGCCAGACATACCTCAGTAAGTTCTGATAGTTTTAATCGATTATAATCGATGATCAACTGAAATGAAAAACACAACCGTCTCTAAAGCTGTTCCGCAACAAAATGAAATTCTGTTATTATGTCTGCTGTGCTCCGCAACGCTCTCATGTATGAGTTTTGCAGGGTTTTTCGATAGCCGAGCTAAACAACTTCTTGACGGATGTGACACATATCTTGAAGAGTAAAGGAGAAGATCTGTCTAAAGCTATTCAATCTGCTATTGATAAAAGAAACTCATCATTTGCTGATGCTATCGGAGCACCGAAGGTTTTAAAAATGCATAATTTCCTTTGAAAGTACAGATCTTTATTCAGATTCCTTCTGTGCTTTGGGATGATGTTGGAGGGCTCGAAGAAACAAAGCAGATTGTGATCGAAAGTATTGAAGGGCATCTTAACGGGGGGAAGAGTTTGAAACGATCTGGAGTTATCCTCTTCGGTCCGCCTGGCTGTGGTAAAACTTTAATAGCCAAAGGTAATCTGCTTGAGCATCAGACTCTTATCATTCTTTCAGCTGTCGCCACTGAGTTCAAAATCGCTTTCTTAAGTGTGAAAGGGCCAGAGTTATTGAACAAGTATGTTGGTCAAAGTGAAGAAAATTTGAGAAAAGGTTCATATGCGTTAATGAGAATGCTTGATCAATAGTCTCTTATAGTATTTGAGCGTGCTCGACAGGCATCACCATGTGTGATTTTTTTTGACGAACTGGATTCTTTAGCTCCCAATCGGGGTAGAAGTGGAGATTCTGGTGGTGTAATGGACAGGTAGAATTATTTTAATTAACAGCCACAAATTTCACACAGAATCGTGTCTCAACTCTTGGCAGAGTTAGATACTCTTCATGACGACCCTCAGTGCAAAGTTTTCGTAATGGCTGCAACCAATCGGGCGGATTTGTTAGATCCCTCTCTTCTCACACCTGGGCGGTTTGGATCACTGATTATATATATATAGAAAGAAACATATTCTCCAGATTTGACAAGGTTGTGAATGTATCACCTGGGAAAAATGTAGAGGACAAGAAGAAGATACTCGAAGCTGTCAGTCGCAAAATGAGAAAAGCTTCTGACGTTGATGTTAGTAAAATAGTATGTTCAACATTTCAGTTCGCCTATTATGAAGAAAAAATATAGGCTGCACTGTGTCCAGATAGTATGTCAGGAGCGGAGTTGTATTCGTTGGTGTCAACAGCTACAATGAAGGCTCTTCGAGAACAGGTCAGTTGAACTTCGACAGCACAACACAATAAATATTTTTTTTAGATAAACGCAATCGAAGCGGGTCGAATGCGCTTAAGTGATGCTGAAGTTATAATTAGTCAGAACCACTTGGAAGATGCACTCGATAATGTGATAAGCAGAAAGAAAATGGCTACTTCATGAATAAACATTCCATTATATATTGAGTTTTGAAACAGTAACAAGTGAATCCAGTAAGTGTTAACCGTTCTTGTCTCGTCTGGATACTTGATAAATCGCTGCAAGATATAATTACTGAACTGCACTGTTTCTGAAATACCTTGTATGATTCGAGCATGTTTTTCAGAAGCATCAAGATGTGAAGAAGACTCGTGTATTTGGGTATCTTCTGTATCGAGAAAAGATTGAGTTGACTCTACAGCCAGGCTTGTTGACTGAATTGGAAGTTTAATTTATATAGAGGACACCCACTTCCTCATTCGAAGTTTCTGAATTTGACGTCGTATCAGTCTTCTTCACTTCTTTTGTCGAAGCAACTGAGCTGGATGTTGTTTCGGTCTTCTTCACTTCTTTGAACGAAACTTGCTCATCTACAGGTTTCATTTTTTGAGTTATGGCACTTGCTGTAGAATTTTTTTTATGATAATCTTGTTGAGCAGCCAAATCTGTTTTTGTTAAAACTTGATAATTGAATTTTGCATCTTCAAACCTCCGTACGTTGATCGGTTTCCAAAGTCTGTCCAGCATGCTACTATCGTAGTGAAAATCAGACCAATACTGAATGATATGCACAAGCCCAAGGCCCAAGGACTAAAAGAAACCACCAAGTAAATACAAATACTAATCATAATACCTAAAAAATCCAAATATTAATCTACCATCTTCTAAATAAGCAGCTGGTGGCATGGGTTCCGTAACATTATAGGAAAAAACTGATCTTGCAAGAATACTCAAAGCGAGTGAATAAAATAACTAAACCAAATTGCAAAATGCTCATAGTTTCGAACATACCATTATTCGAGAACAGCCGCTTCTTCTGGTTTTGCACTTAGCAATGAGTGCTTGAATCAGACTGCTTATGCTAATGTCGGCGGTCTCACAATGAACATCTTTTTGAATTTCTCAAAGTGAAATTAATTTAAAAGCATCATCAGTCCTGATCACGGTTTCATTACGGAAATAAAACAGATTGATCTACGTGGTATTCCACGTCGAATATTATTTTTTAAGTTCGAAAACTTAAAAAGCGGCTGTGCTATAACATCTCGCTAGAATGAGTAATGAAGCTCTTAAACTTCATCCTGGCCAATCGGTAACGTATCTCTCTGTTCTCATGAAAATTCGTATTTAGATCGAGCGATGGGCGATCGAGAAGAAGTTAGGAGAAGGAGCTTTTGGTGCGGTTTATCAAGTCAGAGATCCGACTGGCTGTTATGCCTTGAAAGTTGAAAGTGCACATGCTAAATACCAAGTAAGATTACATAAGTTTGATCTACTCTAATAGAGTTTCAGACTCTGAAAATGGAAGTCCATGTTTTAACTGAGCTATCGAACAAGAATAACCGTCATTTCGTGCGGTAACTATTGTCCTATGTCTGCCCTAAGAATTCTTCTAGGATTATGGATCGCGGAAGGTTCGGCGCTTTCAACTTTGTCGTTATGACTCTAGTCGGCAAATCTCTTCATGATTTGAGGTAATTGTCTATTTTTTCCATCTACGTGGGATTCTTTTAAGAAAAGAGAGCCCATCACAACATTTTTCTCTACCATGCGCAATCGGAGTGGGCATACAGACTTTAGAAGCAGTTCAAGACCTACATGAGATTGGCTACTTGCACAGAGATTTGAAACCTGCCAACTATTCTATTGGGCGTGCTGAAAACGGCGAAATTCGTAAAATTTATGTACTAGACTTTGGAATGTGCCGCAAATTCATAAGTGATGATGTATTATACAGATTGGTTCCTGGTATTATGATGATAATTCAGGGAATCATACGAAGACCACGATCTCAAGCAGGGTTCAGAGGAACAGCTCGTTATGCTTCGTTAGCATGTCATTTGAATCAAGACTTGTCTAGGTGTTCTTAAGTCTGGCTCCCTTATGTACACATTTCGTTAAGAAAAGATGATGTTGAGAATTGGCTCTACATGCAAATTGAGATGACCATAGGTCGCGTTCCATGGAAACATACCAATGATATTGGCCAGGTTTTATCTCATGTTTTGCAATGGCTGATTATTATTTTCAGATCGGAGAGTATAAGAAACGTTGCCGCCACCCTCCAGGAATAAATGATTTGTTTCCCCCTAACTGTCCTCAAGAGTATAGGTGAAATGAGAACAATTTTTAAAACGTTAAAACATAACCTTATTAGAACAATCATGACTATGCTCGATGAAACCGATTACTACGGGACTCCACCTTACGAAAGTATTTATCAGGTTGGCTTTGCAAGTTTTGTTGTGATACACCCATTGCACTTAAAGATTCTCCGAAATATTCTTGCTCGAACAGGAAGACAAGAGTTTCCGTACGACTGGGAAAGATAGGAATACAGTAAATTTGTTTATTCCGATATAATTTCATATTAAATCTCCAAACCAGTATAATTATATCAAAACCTTTGAGTTATTATTAAAACACAAACGATATATCACAAAGAGCGTGATCGTGGAACGATCATGGATAATGAAGTAAAAATTAATATGTATATATGAATATATATATATATATATATATATATATATATGTGCGTATGTGCGTAATTAATCTGTGTGGAATGATTGAAAGCAACGAATTATCCTAGCTATTCCCGTATTACTATGACTGGATATAGGACTTGTTAGACATCCTAAGGCCCGAATATGATTTCATTTAAAGGTTCCAAAGTTATATCCTTACAACATTCCATGGAATGTATACTGTTGGAATAGAATTGATAGTCTTGACAGACAAACCTTAAACATCACATGTACATGCACTTTTCACTAATTAATTCGCTTTACCCGTAAGCAGATGTATGATGCGGAGTTATTCCAAGTCTTTCCATGTGTTCTTTGAGATGACCTTTGAAAGAGTGGTGCACAGATTCGAAAAGTTTCTGAATAATACTATCAGTACAGTAATGAGGTGGATCGTGAACCTTAATCTGTTCAGGAGGCATAACACCATACATTCCACTGTGGAATTTCTGTAGCCTTTTGCAAATTTGTTGAAACGCCAACGAAGGGAGGCCACCCTTCATTTCCCACTGAACACAAGATGGCTTGAGATGGAAAAATATAAGTAAGTTACCGTATTCAGAAAACTTGAAATATGCAAATCTATGACACTTTCCAACTTGCTTGATATTTCATTAATATGGTCATTATAATCTGTTTGAACCTGAATGATTTAATTGAAATTAAGGAAAGGACGAAGAATGTAACTTGTTTGAAATGTCGCAATCTGTGTTTTTGGTCTTCTTTCAGATTGGAATCAAGTTCTGATATAACAATTGGTACGAAGTACAGAACAAATTGAAGTGATCGCGATGTCAAAGCTTCAAAAACCATTATTAGATCGAAGCGGTATTGTATTAACCTAAGTTACGAACTGAAATAGTTCTCAAACCAACTAAATGTAACGCTCCCGTTCCTAATATTAATTGGCAACAACGACTGAAAAATGACTATTGAGGATCCGCATGTAAAGAGCTACAAACCTATTAAAACTTTTCAATAACTCCACTATTCTCGACAAGATATCTGGTGAAAACACCGGCAAGGCAGACACGCATTCAACATACTCGGCAAGGATTCGAATAAACATTAAGACAGATCTATAAAACATCAGCGTGTTACTATCAAAAGCTTATAATTTTATGTCGTACCCTACAACAACAAACTCCTCATTTTCTATTAGAATTGATGGAGAAACATCTGATTTCTCCGGCGAAACAACATTTCTTAATTGATTCTGTAAAAAAAAATAATATGATGACGATTCCGGAAAATTAATTACTGTTCGGGAACAGTTGTTGACAATTTCCTGGAAAACTGTGGGAACTTCAGCTGCTCTCCATAACTCCATATCTAACACTTCGCTGAAGAATTTTTATTTTAAAAGCTCTAAATTATCAGTTCCGTTACCCTATCCTGGTTCGTCTTTGCGAATGGAACCTATCAATATACTCCATTGATAGTTTATCCAGACAGTGAGACAAGACATTATTAGATAGGCTCTAGAATAGAGTAAGAACGATGTACAATGTATACTAGGAACCTGAACTTTCTGCCAACCACGACTGGCACATTTGCTTTGATACTCTCGTACTTTTACGATTATTTCCGCCAACTGTGCTGGGGTTGTGAAATCATTGTTGACATCTTTCATTCGAGCTTCCAGCAGCCGACAAATCCTTTGTTGAGCACAATGATAACCATACTCAGCAATTAAGGAAACAACTCGTCTCAGATGGAATATTGAATGTATTTCAACTGCTATGAGAGCGGCAGGATCAGTTACAGTTCCACTATGTGATATTTTGCTTCGACTGTTTGAATCTTCCTGAAATTTTGACTGATGATGACTAAAAAGTATCCCTTAAGATAACCTCTTGTTCACTGTGCGAACTGGCTTCCCCTACATAACTTTGTCCAGCAGAACGTCCAGTTTCAGTAGAATTATCACTTGAAACTTTTTCAGATAATTCCATCATGGTGTCTTGTAGAACCTTGAACGAAGGTTATTAAAGTTTGACTTCTTTTATGCCATGCCTGTAGCCGTTCGCAGAAATAGAACAGTGCATTCATTACGTCATGTACAGTTTTCAAAAAGTTGCTGTATTCTAATTTCCTCACAGGTTCTCCAAGTTGACTATAATTCTAGGTTGAAGCTCGAATGAGAGAACTATAACAGTACCTCAAGGAGGGGTCGAATTGCGTTAAGTCCATGCCACTTTCTACAACAACTTGTTTCACAACCTGAACAAATTTACTGTAAAAGAAAATTGAAGCGCGTCACCTGTCTCATGATTCCTTTCGCAGCTTCCGCTATTTCAGTACTCAGAACATGTATGAACGAAAACTTCCGTACTTGCATAAGCCCTAAGGTGATTGACGATAGTTCTCCCTTTAACGTAAATATTAAAGAAGCCTAATAGATTGTTGAACCTCATAAATGATATGAGTACCATCTTCGGGTTTACCAGCCAACTCTTTTTGAATAACTTGAGCAAAATCCTCGTGCATCATTTTCCCTATAACGCCATATAGTTCATGGAGTTGAGAAGCCAAATGTCTGGAATGTACAAATATCACGGTACACAAACTACTCCAGTACCTGAAACATTGAACCCCGTGCAACTCAGATTCCAAAACTTCCAAGCTAGTTTCAATGCAGTCAATTGCTTTTGGATAGTCTGATTGATTCAGCATCATTTGAACCGTCGCTTGTGCTTGTCGGAGACATGATATATCCTGAGAAATTTCTGACTCAGAAATGATGGCATGTAGATACCTGCAGCCTTGAAAGCATTTTCTGTTTTTGTTCTCTTTTCTCATAAAGTTTCATAATTTTTCGAGTTCTTTCACAGATAAGTTCTGATACAGATTTCAAGTTATTCCTGAAGCACATTTCTCAACACAAAAACTAAGATATCACAGATACCTGACGGATCGTATGTCGGCCATAGCCATAGTCAAGTCTTCATGGAGTCCTCCATAACTATGCACCATCTTCCAGAATTCCGAAGACTTCGATACAAGTTTCAGGGCCAGGCGAGAATCCACAACGTCATGCATAGCTTCTAGCTTTGTATTAAGTTGTTCGTAATCCCGGAATGTACCACACTAAAATAAAAAGAATACTTTGAACATGCTCTCTGAATCACTTTTTGCTCTTCATTTTTTTCCAACGGAACGACCAATTTTCCACTTGTCGTCACAGTTAATGGATCGCGATCTTCTTGATGTGGATAAGTGAAAATATTGGAGAAAGTTGGCCCATGTGATAGAATGAAGGAAGAATCAACAAAAATCTGTAAAAATAGAAACTTAGAGAATAACTTAATTCTATATGGTTCGAGAAGTTGGAAATGAGAGAAGATGTAAGCAAGCTGGCAATGATAAACAGGCAACGCAGCGTGTTCGAAGCACAAGGACATTAAACTTGGCTAAAAGCTTTAGCCGATATAACACTAAACAACACAACAACAGGTGTTCGTTTTTTTGAGTTAGTATAGTTATTGGCTGATTGTTCAGGATTTCATACTCCTTCTCCCGCTATATTCGCTTATTCTTCAACTCCCAAAACAATTTCTCATCCATATATTACTATATGAGTTATCTGATGCCAGACCAATGCTTCAATTCTATCTACAGGACCAACAAAAACAGAAGCGAAATCGTGAAAAACGGTGAGTCCTTTTTTTTTCTTTTGGCCGTATAAAGAACATGACGATTGATAAGCGGAAACTACATCAGTACAAATGTGAAAGGTCACTCACTGAAGGCAGGTCATCGACGTCTGCTTTATCGTCATTGGCAATTTGTTGGCGGAGCAAAGCTTTCTTAGCAGTTTGATATTTCTTATAAGTCTGAAGTAGTATGATTTCAAACATTGTGTACCATTTCACGAACCTTTCCCGTGCTCTTTATGTAGGAAGTGAACTGTTGCGCAGTAACAGGAGGGATCAAACGTGATGGAGGTATGGAAGTAGGAGGAACAAATGAGTCTCCCCAATGTCGGCTAAAAAACGTAGCAACTTCACTCCTCTTGCGTCCAGGATCCGAAAGAACTGCAGACAAGTTTTGGGTAAAGCTGAAAATGTTTCCTATATTATTCCCACACTCACTAGTTTCGAATTGTATGCCCTATCGTTTTCGAGAGCCATTAGGAGAAGGCAATGAAACGTAAATCAGTTCTTATCATTTGCCATCAAGAGTGGAACGATTTACCCCATTTTGCGGTCATTGTCAGTTTAACTTTGCTAAGTTCTTTGAGAACAATATCAGCGAAAAAAAGAATTAGCATATACAAACGATTTCTTTTCTTTCATTCCTCGACATTCTCTATCAGATCGTTTGCAGAAATCATTGAAGATTTCCGATTTAGAGAGTGAACTTCAAAAAGTTAAAGTTGAAGTTGGTCTGCTCAGTAATGTTTCTTAATAGATAGTAGCCCTATAGCAAGTTCTATGAGTGTTAAACTGTTGATCAGCATGTCAATTGGCTCTTGTAGATTACAATTACTGCATCATTAGAAAGAAGACACAAATTTGACAAAAACATTAAGATGTCAAAAGTGTTTGGCCAAGAAAACAGGTTCTAGTCAAACGACCTAAGACATTGGCCCTTGTGTCTTCCCCAATTCCTTCCTTTTCTCCTGTCTCAATGCCTTATTGCGGTCGAGAGTTGAATGCCATTTAAAATGAAAAATTAAAGAGAGAAAATTTCGAAGAGAGAGGCAAGAAGTTGAGCGAAGAATAGCTGAAGAAATGAAGATAAGAGAAAGTTGAAGAGAGAGAAAGAGAGAGAGAGAGAACTTCCACCGAACTGACAGTATTTGGAGACAAAAGCAGAGGCTTTTTTGCTTTGCGGAACAGGTACATCGGATGGCGTTGGCCATTTTGACAGACCCGCTCCCGACAGTCACATTATCAATCTTTAGCGGTCAGAGTTACCGCCTACCTGCCGTTACTTATACGGTTATCTATTGTTCGAAGACGTTGGGCTCTTCCATTACTCCTTAGATGTTTTATTATTTTCTCTTGTTCCGCTTCTTTAATGTAACAAGTTCGATTATAAAGAAAATTTTGTAATTGGTAGTAAGAAAAACAACCAAAACATGCTCTTGCAACCTTTTGATTTCGTACGTACAGGTCCTTAGTAGATTCATTCTTCCTTCATTCCACCAAAACTTCCTACTTCCCAAGTAGTTATACAAAAAATCATTTCAGATATCGCCTGTTGATGTCTAGAGGGGCAGATAAGGAAAGTACAACCGAAGGAAGCTCATCCTGCAAAGAAGCTTGCTTCGGCAAAAGAGCAAGAAAATGGGCTTTCCTATTTATCATCGCATTTCTAGCCATTCTAACTATCAAAGATGTCGTTGAACTAGTAAGTTCTTAATTCCCTCTTTTCATTCAGCGAATTGCATTCTTGGTTGTTCTTCAATTGTAAAATTCGAGCTAATTTAGAACTGAATGAAGGTTCACAAAAAACCTCCAACCTCATTTCGTTCACCGATTAATAGAACAAACACATGAACTTTTAGGTTGCTGAATATTGTGATAATCCGAAGGAATCAGACATCAATATTGTTTTTAATGATTCAATGAGTATGCCTAACATAACATTCTGCATGTCGAGAGCTCAAGCATGGAGTCATTTCAAGATCAACGCTAGTGCTCCAGCTGATGAATGGGACTTGATAGTAGATGTCAGTGAACTATTCCTTGAAAAGAAGAAAAAAAATAACTTCAGGAAGCTCTTGCTAACATGACAGACCACGATTCCTTCTTAACAACTTTATGGGATTACCGTTTGGTTATGGAGGCCTACGATATGATTGCAACTTATAACAGTTTGGAACGAGAAACAACCGGTCACGGGTCTGCCAGATCTATAAATGTGTTCAGAGCTTCTCCACGATTAGCCACTAAGCGTGCCACATTCAAGGTTCAAAAAACGTTTGTGAGATATTTTAAGTATATTCTTTAGAAATGGCATCAAGTCCTGAACTCTCGTAAGGTCACATTTGAAGAATTCACTCAAAAAACAGGAACAGAAGTCTTGAGACGATCAATGCAGCGTTTCCAACGACAAACTTTCGATGAAGATTTGGTCATCAAAACAAAGCTCAGAACATCTTGGATTTCTCAAATGCAAATTTGTTATCAACCTTGGTTTGAAACTGACTATGGAATTAATGATCAAGTTCGTTGCAACTTCAACATGGTTGAAAAAACCATTTTATAGGGTAACTTCTTTACAATGCTTCTCTCCCACAATCAGGAGAATCTCGATGGAGTAGCATTAGAATGCATGAGTGTTGATTTCCACGGTCGTCCGTCTTCTCTCAACAGATTCATGGAGGGTAAAGGAAGAGCTAAGGATGGTTTTACAGCTGAGGTGATAAATGCGAGTCTAGTATATGATAATAAAAATTATTTAGTTATGCGCTGGTCAAAGACACGAAGTGACTGTGGAAGTTCGAGCACTCTACGATATGTTGGAAAATGATGACGAAGGAACGGCATGCAAAGATCAAGAAGATGGAGAAGATACAGAATTTGATTGCCGTTCCAGATGTAGAATGGAAATGATAAGAGTGAGAGAGTAAACAAATGAACTTCGAAACTTATGTCATTCAGGGAATGTGTAACTGTACTGCTCTCTCGTTAAGTTACTTAGCAGATGATCTAGATGATTTTCCTTTATGCGATTACACTCAATGCGAAGTCGAGTGAGTCGATCGAGACATAATTGATTTTAAAAAAACAATTTTTCTAGTGTTCAAAGAGGAAACTATTCTGATTCCGAGTGTGCTAACAAATGCCTTCGCGATTGTCATCAAATTCGTTTTGATATAGACCATGAAGTTCAAGGAAAGATGGTCAGACCTGGTAAGCGTTTTTTGACTTTTACACCCTAATGGTCTCAAACGCTTCTCCAACGTCAATGTTTTCGAAGAAGAATAGGGTTGCGATAAATATACGTAAGACTAATAGCTTGTCAGCTAACTGATATGTCTTCCATCTTTCTGTGGCTAGCGGATCTCAAGACAACACCTGCCCACAAAAACGAAGCAAAACTAAAAAAATCTAATTCAAAAAACTAAAAAAAAGAGCTGCATCGTAAACGAAAATATAAACAGTTCGAGAGAGAGCGAGAGACTCACAAGTTTTTTTTCAGATCTTACACTTGTTAATCTTAATTGGGGATCGTTCGAATATTTATCCATGGAACAGCAATGGAAATATTCTGTTACTGCTTTTATTGCTGCTCTTGGAGGATCCATTGGTATGTGGCTTGGACTGTCTATCCTCTCCCTTATTCAGGTAGTGCCCAGTCTTGTTTCTCTTTCATATCAGCATTACAGGGAGGTACTTATCTCTACACATGGTGTACAAGAAAAGTTGTCCAAGAAAAGATTCTGAAGAAACACAGCGCCGTAGGAGCGACAAAGAGAAGGGACAGCAAGGTAACTAAATTAACACCGAGAAATATATTTTTAATTCATACTCACTCACACTTTCAATTTCCTTTCCATTTAACTAAGCTTCATGGACGAGTTCGCAAATCTATCCTATCTTTCCTACATGAATTTCAGACATCAGAAATAGCAAACGACAGGAAAGCAAGTAAAATTTCAATAGCAGCAAATCCTTTCGAAAACCCATTCCCGATAGGGGATGAAGAAGAGGAGGATGCGGATCGTAGACATAAAGTAGGGATCTATACTATCTAGTTAACTCTATAACTTCCGTCTGTCTATCGTACTGATCTATCTAGAATACTAACTCGTGTGTATGTGTGACACTGTTTTGTTTTTGTTGACAATGCTCACACACAAAACAAAATCAATGATTTTTCAGGTCCAACCACTACCTGGATACAGTCAGAACCCCAACCCCACCAAAATTCAAGTTGATTAAAAATCTCACTTCCAATCGAAGCCCACGTGTATATAATCATTCCCCTTTTAAAGAAAATTCTAATCAGAATCAAATATGTGATAATAAACTACCAAAAAACAAAAATAAAGAAATTATTATAATATACCAACCTGTTAATTGTGAATACTTTATCTTCATGATGAGAAGAAGAAACGGATGGAGGTTCAACTGTAAAAGAAAATTTAGGTTTCATCAACACAGTAAGGGTGGATACCACAAGTATGAAATCGCCTAATGTGAGCTTCATAGTCAACATCAGAAACTCCTTCTAAAGGCAGTTTTTGACAAACATTGTTTTCACCATATCTGAAGTCGGTATTGATAAACAGGGGAATCGATCAAGTTCACACCTGCAAACAAATGATCCACCTTCTTTTGTAGAATGAACAACTCGAAGATGACGAGCGAATTCGGCTCCATCATAAAAATCAATCCTAGGAAAGCAGTAATCGCATTCCCTGAAAACAGAATAATATGATGAAAAAGTTGGTGAATTCACCTCGGATAGCCAGGATCCCTAGGAGGGAAAGAAAACCCTGTGGATGTAGAAGTTTTAGACATTTTAACATTTATCCTTTGTACATTTTCCAACCTGTAATCGAGTTTGAAGAGAAATAAAAAACAACAGTACTTTCGCGATAAGGCTGATTAGAACTTTGATTAAAAAAAATTCGAATGAAATAGAGAAGATGGAATATTAAAACGATCCTGAAGTAGAAAACAGAAAAATTGAAAAAGATTTGTCATGCACAGAATGCTATGCATGTCAACCGTTCTTCAGCAATGTAAATTAAACAATGAACGTGGAAGTGCGCCCCAGCTGCAAATTCCGCATGCACTCACTGCGCGAATTCTTTTTGAAAAGCATTCCAAATTGAAAGTTTGTTATTATAATTTTTGCTTAAATTGGAAATTTCACAACATTCACCAGTTGGGACTTACACAGCACATCATATATAACAGGGAATAATCGAATTGGTAATGCATGTGGTATGTTTTTTTTCAAGGGGAGAAAGTTAGAAATAATCAGTTTTACAGAATTTTCTTTCATCTGATCCAACTAAGCCTTGTATATTGCTGAAATGGCCGAACGTGTCTATCCTCTTAGATTGTGCAATTGATCTCTCACCTTTCTATCATTTTTTACCTCATATATTCTCCCAATAGTAAGATTTCTCGAATTTCACGGATTCAAAACTGTACATCTAGCAAAACAACGAAGAAATTCGACATTTTGAAAGCTCAGGATGCTCTGGGACGGTATGACATTGGGAATCGCACTGTATATATTGAAGGTCATCCCCAAACAAATGCAATCCCGGTACGTATATACCAGCTTCTCCTTCATTGACAAAGTTTAGCTGAAAGAGTTGTGTATGGAAACTGTTGACTGTATTCTGATTTCCAATTGGAACTCATTAGTTGCTTTACCTTATTATGTGCATAATACTGGATTTAAAGGATCTATTTACGCAACTGAGCCCGTAATGCAGTTCGGAAAGTACATTTTTCTATCGTTTTTCCACATAATCATATAAATTCAGATTGATGATCCTCGAAATGCTGGAATACTATGATCGGATTGTTATTGACCGGGGAGACGAAAGATGGAAGAAGTCTGAAGACGTACCGTAAGTCACTAGTGAGGGTTATATAATTTGAACTTGATTATAGTGCAAATCATCCATGGGGTGACCCCTCCGAATGGAAACATTTCTACTCAAGGGAGATTATGGAAGCTACTCTGAGCACAATCACTCCTGTTGCTTGGAGGCAATCTTTCGTAAGTACAATTAATATCTTATTTATTGACTTCCATGTTCAGTTTACCATCGATAACATCAAAATCACTGCATATAGTAGTGGATATCACATCGGTTCCTGCAATTGGGTCATTGAAGCTGACGAAGGAAAGGTTCAGTATACATCTATATGTGTCGGAGTTATGAAGTTGTTCTGCAGATTTCTTACCTCGCCGCGTCAAGTGCGAGGAATACCCATTCAAAGCCTGTAGATTGGGAGAAGGTGAAAGAAGCTGATATTATGCTTTTAACTTCATTGTCTCCGATTCCGGACAATTCTCCTTTAGTAAATTAATCTGTTTACACGGTTTCAAGTGTTTTTCCTTTAAGAGTTCAATGCAATATATACGTGAGTTGGTCTCCGAAACGTTGAAGAAGGGTGGTAACGTGTTAATTCCAACTCTTCCTGTTGGACCTGTGTTTGATCTCCTAGACCTTATTGCAGCTTGCATTGATAATACGGTAAATTCGTGTCGTAAAACAGTTATATTAGTTTTTACAGACTGGAGTTCCCCTTGATACACCTATTTATTTCATTTCACCTCAAGCCAAGAGTGCTCTCGCTTATTCTAATGTCAATGCAGAATATTTGTCATCGGACAAGCAAAACAATGTGTTTATACCTTTAGAACCATTTCTTCACACAGAGGTAGTCCGTGATGCCGCCTTTTTGATTTCAAACTATTTTTTAGTACATCAAGAATGGTAGATTAAAGGTTTATGATTCTCTCTATGATTCTTTCTCGAAGGAGTACAAAACACCTTGTGTTGTGAGTTTTCAGCAGAACATTTATCAACTCATTTTCCTGATAGGTTCTCTGTGGTCATCCTACATTGAGAATTGGTGACGCTGCACACTTGCTTCAGTTATGGGGAAACGACAACAAGAATGTTCTTATCTCTACAAGTGAGTAAGCAGATTTTTCTTTCATTCAACCTTTCTCCAGATCCCGATTTCCCTCTACAACAAGTTTATGAACCTTTCCGTGAGTTGGCAGTGCGAGCTTATTTCTATCCAATTGACTCAAGACTCGATTTCGCTCAAGTTAATAACACACTTATCAATGATCTGAAACCCAAGGTTATTATCTGAGTCATAAATCACTAAAGTCAACTTGTTCCAGTGTATCTATGCTCCTGAGCAGTATTCGAAACCTATGTTTTCGCGTCGGAAAGATCTCGTGTTACAATTCGTGAGTGTTGTTTATAATACTATTCATGTTAGCATCTTGTTTCAGAGTCATATTGTTCCAGTTAAAGAGAATGAACCCTTATTAATAAAAGCAATTAAAGGAAGTAAGAGGAAAATTCGTGTACACCCTGAAGTGAGTACAGAGCAGTTAGATTTAGCTTTATAGTTGCTTCAGATTCTCAAAAAGCTGGAAGCTAAAAGTGGCAAAGGCAATACAGATTACGGGTTGTGTCATCTCTCAGGATTCTTATCCACTTATGACGACGACTTCGAATTACTGGTAGGTTTACAAGATTTGCTAAATTAAGAAATTTATTGAAGCCTGCGAAACGGAAAGCTCGTTCGAGATACACTGGAAAAGTAACTTCAGATATTGTGATGAAAGCCATACAAAAGGTTTGTCTTCTATCAAGTATAGATTCATTCTCTCTTGTTTTCAGAGAAATCTCCAACATAAGTTGTTGACAAATTCTGACGGATCGTTTGAGGTTGACATTGAAAGCTTGAAAGCTACCTTGAGAGTGAATAAAGAAGGAACTCGAACAACAATCAAGGTTTTTCTTATCTTTTTTTCCAAAATTATTATATTTTTAGTCTGCTCCTGAACATCGCAATCTACTAGCTGAAATTGTAGCATCTTACTTAACTCCTTTCGGTTGACTTTTACGTGTTGTGCATATATACGGGTTCTTATAAATATTTTTTTTTGTCACTGTTCCACTCACACTAGGAGTTGCAACTCTTAATACTATTCAAATTGAAATTTTTCTGGCTGAATTCTACATAACAACTTCTCCAAATAAAGATGAAACAACTAAAAAGTTCTTCTTTCTTCTAGGATTCTGTAATGGAAAAATGATTATAAAAAGGGCTCTGAATGTGTGTTCTCATGTCGAAAGACTCAAAGTCCCAAGTCAGTTAACGGTGAAGGTAGTTATTATTTTTTTGAGAAATTTTATACATTTATAACAGAGAAAAGTTTGTAAAAGTCCGTCTTGGTTAGGTCATGCTCAGATACAGCACGTAGGTTCTAGTGTGTGCTAACCAATTAGTTCTGTTAACACGGAATAGTCAATGCATGCTAGTTACCAATGACTCTTGTTCTCCTCAAATCCTTCTAAATCAACTGACTTGACATATTCATGAACGAATCTCTTCAGGATAGCACTCCTTCTGAATCCATATTCGACCCGTTCCTCGAATGGAATGATGAATCGTCATTAACAGAACCTCTCAGTCTAGAGCCTCCCACAAAGTTTGTTTTATTCTAATTGCTTCATGTACTATGTCAACTCCAAGAAAGGAACAACATGACTATACTGAGGAACTATCGAGGTTGCGAACGGAAGGCTGTGCGCCTGTGAAGAGAGCATTATGTGAGTGATCTCCTCCTGAATGGTTGGAGGCTAGAAACGATGACGAGAAATTTTTTTCCAGCTGTTCTGTTGGAAGCCATCCAGTCGAGAGCAGGATTAAAGACTTCTTTATCAAGTAGTAATGTCACTTTATTCAACTTTCACTCCACCAAGTATGTTGGT